ATGGAAATAATATTCTACATACTACACCTGAGTTATAAAATGTCTGGGTTTGGTCTCAGTACTTAAAAATCAAAGCTTAACCCTAAAAGTCTCAGTTCTCCCACAGAAACCTACTGTAATTACATTTAGCTGTGTTAGTAGTCATAGGTATAAGTCTTGCAGTTGCTAAACCACAGATGAGGAGATGGACAGCCTTAATACATGGTGGCCCCAGAGATATGTGGGCTGATTAGTTGTCAGACACAGACATTTTATTTTTTTTATTTTTTAAATTTTTTTTTTTTAAATGTTTTATTTATTTTTAGGAGAGAGAGAGAGACAGACAGCATGAGCAGGGGAGGGTCAGAGAGAGGGGGAGTCACAGGCTGACATCTTATTTTATTTTTTTTATTTAAAAAAAATTTTTTTTTTAATGTTTTATTTATTTTTAGGGGAGAGAGAGAGACAGACAGCGTAAGCAGGAGAGGGTCGGAGAGAGAGGGAGTCACAGGCTGAAACAGGCTCCAGGCTCTGAGCTGGCAGTCAGCACAGAGCCCGACGCGGGGCTCGAACCCACGAACTGCGAGATCATGACCCAAGAGAAAGTCGGACGCTTAACTGACTAAGCCACCCAGGCGCCCCAGACACAGACATTTTAATTCAGAGTATGAAGTGACATTTGCTACATGGTGGGAGTTCTTTTTCTCATTCCATGCAGTCATGAAATTTGCTAAGATGATGTGTACTAGAAGCAAATATCTAAATTGATTTTTTTTTGAAAAAACATTTTTTTCTGTATAAGATTATTTATTACCTTAAATTGATTGTTGTGCCTTCAGTTCTCTTAAATGTGAGGAAAGGATTTTCCTCTGAGTAAAAGTAACAATTGTTTATGTTTAAATGATAGATTTGGACACTAGTCTTTCAAGCTTGGTAGACAACAAATATGACTAATGATTAGCAGATCTAAAAAGGAAAAACTCTTGAAGCCAGGCATGTAGTTACTACCTCAAGTTAAGGAGTGACTTAAATCATCTGCCTGTTCATGAGCATGAACCCAATCATTTTAAAAGTTAAAATGATCGTTAGAGATTATTCTTTCCCAGAGTTCCTGTTTATGTAGCATATTACAATTCCCTATTTCAGTCGAATTGTATTGGTCAAGCATGGAGGGAATACAGGTTTTGAACAGTACAGGTTTTGAGACTGTTTCAGGCACCGTATCTGATTGGCAACATGACCTAGCTTATCAAATTACTTAACTTCTTTGAGCCTTTGTTTCTTTCACTATAAAAATGCAATAATACCTACCTGAAAAAACTTTATAAATGTAATAACACCTACTTGAAAAATTTTATGTATGGTTAAATAAATAACACATAAAACACTTTTAGCACAGTGCAAGACTTCCATATATATTGGTTCCTTTCATGTATGGATATATGTATGTGTGTTTATAGTTTATACGTTTATACATATGATGAAAGATTTTTTTATTTTTTTTCTGAGGAGAAAAAATTGATCTTAGAGGATTAGGTTGGAATTGGAGGTACTAACATTACAACCTGAAGATGAGCGTTATTATGTTACACCCATGCAGGTTTCCAGAAGCTGTCTCAATTCATGTTAATGCTATAGTATTACCTTGTGCTGTGATGTAATAACACTTCTTGGAGAGGCAATATAGCATAGTGGTTAAGTGGGTAGCCCACAGAGTTGAAATAGTGTTGATTGGAAACCCTACTTTATTTAGTACTAGCTGATATAATATTATGCCTCTGTCCTTATCTATATTTTTGGATGTTTGTCCCTATTACCTACCTTCTCAGGTGTTATGAGGATTAAACAAATGAAAACAAATTTATAATGACTGATCTAAAGTAGGTCTTGCTACTTTTTAAAATTAAATTGTGGTGGAGGGTCTGGCTGGCCCAGTTAGTAGACCATGTACTCTTGATTTCAGTGCCCTGAGTTCAGGCCTCATGTTGGGTGTAGAGCTTACTTAAAAAATTAAGGGGTGGCTGGGTGGCTCATCAATTAAGCATCCAACTTTGACCCAGGCCGTGATTTTGTGGTTTGTGAGGTTGAGCCCCACATTAGCTCCGTGCTGACAGCTTGGAGCCTGCTTCAGATTGTGTCTCCCTTTCTCTCTGTCCCTCCCCTGCTTGTACTCTGTTCTCTCTCTCTCTCTCTCTCTCAAAAATAAACATTTAAATTGTGGTTAAAGATACACAACAATTTATCATCTAACCATTTTTAAGACTTTATTTTTAAGTAATCTTTACAGCCAACATGGGGCTTGAACTCACAACCCTGAGATCAGGAGTTACATGCTCTACTGACTAAGCAAGCCAGGTGTCTCTCCTATTAACTATTTTAAAGTGTAAATTCTATGACATTAAGTACATTCAGTTTCCTGTTTTTAGAACTTTTTTATTCTTAAAAACTATGACCCATTAAACAAAACTCTCCATTCTCCCTTCCCAGCTCCTGGTAATCTTTATTCTACTTTCTGATTATGAATCTGCATTTTTTAGGTACCTTATATAAGTCGAGTTACATAATATTTGTCTTTTACTTCACTTAGCATAATGTTTTCAAGGTTTACTCATGTAGCATGTATCAGAATTTTATTTCTTTTTATCTTTTTTTTTTAATATTTTTATTTATTTCTAGGAGAGAGAGAGAGACAGCGTGAGCAGGGGAGGGTCAGAGAGAGAGGGAGACACAGACTCTGAAACAGGCTCCAGGCTCTGAGCTGGCAGTCAGCACAGAGCCCGAGGCGGGGCTCGAACCCACGAACTGCGAGATCGTGACCTAAGCGGAAGTCGGATGCTTAACCGACTAAGCCACCCAGGCGCCCCATTTTATTTCTTTTTAAAATGACTGAATTTTGGTTATGTATTCATCTGTTGATGTCTGTTAAGAGTTGTTTTCCCCTTTCGGCTATTGTGAATTATGCTGTTGTGAACTTTGGTGTACAAGTATCGATTTGAGTCCCTGCTTTCAATTCTTTTCTATACTGCTATTTCTAGAAGTGTTATTACATGGTAGCACAAAGTAATACTGTAGCATTAACATGATTAAAATATCTCCTGGAAACATGTATAGGTTAATGCTCATCGTCACACTGCAGTGTTAGTACCTGGAATACCTAAAAGTGGAGTTGATCAATTATATGGTTCATAATATATTGTTACTAGTATTAGGTTATTTTCCAAGGCCCCCAAATAAAATAGCCCCCCTCACAAGTTAGCTCTTTATCTTAGTTTTCTACTAACAGTTTGAGTAAAAGAGAGGGGAAAGGAAGAACAAATGTTTTCTTTGCTCCTGGCCACATTGGCCACAGTTCCTGCTGCTACCTATTGGATACTTTTTTTTTTAGGGATTATTTTCTTCAGACATTAAAAGAAAAGGGCTATCCCGAATGTAGGGCTATATCTGATTGTGAAAAGTAGGTTGATATATTTTTTTAAATGTTTGTTTTTGAGAGAGAGAGAGAGAGAGACAGAATGTAAGCAGGAGAGGAGCAGAGAGAGAGGGAGACACAGAATCCAAAGCAGGCTCCAGGCTCTGAGATGTTAGCACAGAGCCCATTGATAGGGCTCAAACCCATGAACCACGAGATCAAGAGCTGGTCTGAAGTTGGGTGCTTAACTTACTGAGCCACCCAGGCATTCCATAGGTTGATATTTTATAAGGCCCATGTAATACTGGACTATCAAATATGAGAATCTTATAAACAAATCTGATTTAAAGATAATTAGTACCACTTAGATGAGTTATATGCCTAATGCAGTTAGGTAAGCAGTAGCAGAGAAGTTGCTCAATAAGTAATTTTTGAATGTATGAATGACTGAATGGTAAAGACTCTGAGACCCAGATCTTCTGATCCACTATATACTTTGCCATGCAACATTAAAATATTGCTAAAAATTTGATAAGTATTAAGAAAGCCATATTAATAATTTTGTTTTCCTACTTTGACTTTTAAAAAAACTACATTTAAGGGGGGGTGCCTATGTGGCTTAGTCAGTTTGGCGTTCAACTTCTACTCAGGTCATGATCTCATGGTTTGTGGGTTTGAGCCCCATGTCGGGCTCTGTGCTGATGGTTCAGAGTCTGGAGCCTGCTTTGGATTCTGTGTGTGTCTCTCTCAAAAAGAAATGAACATTAAAAAAAATTTCTTTAATTACATTTAGGGGTAACGCATTTGGCTAGATAGAGTTTTTGTTTCATTTTGTTTTGTATAAACAGAGTTTTATTATGCCTCACATCTACCTTTTATTTAAAAAATTTTTTTTACATTTATTTACTTTCTTTTAATTTTTTAATGCTTTTATTTATTTCTGAGAGAGAGAGAGACAGTGTGAGCAGGGGATGGTCAGAGAGAGGGAGACACAGAATCTGAAACAGGCTCCAGGCTCTGAGCTGTCGGCACAGAGCCCAACGCGAGGCTTGAACCCACGAACCGTGAGATCATGACCTGAGCCGAAGTCGGATGCTTAACCAACTGAGCCACCCAGGCGCCCCTACATTTATTTATTTTTTGACAGAGTGAGACAGAGCGTGAGCGGGAGAGGGGCAGAGAGAGAAGGAGACAGAATATGAAGCAGGCTCCAAGCTATCAGAGCCCAATGCGGTGCTTGAACCCATGAACCATGAGATCATGACCTGATCCAAACTCAGACACTTAACTGACTGAACCACCCAGGCGCCCCTCAAATCTACCTTTTTAAACACAAATTTAAGGGGCACCTGGGTGGCTCAGTCAGTTGAGTGTCCGACTTTGGTTTAAGTCATGATCTCATGGTTCATGGGCTCAAGCCCCATGTCGGGTTCTGTGCTGACTGCCAGCTCAGAGCCTGGAGCCTGTTTCAGATTCTGTGTCTCCCTCTCTCTCTGACCCTCCCTTGCTCACGCACTCGCGCTCCCCCCCCCCTCAGAAATAAATAAAACATTAAAACACACACACACACACAAATTTAATGCTTTTTAAAAAAATTTTTATCAATGTATAGGTATCAAAACTGCTTTCACCAGAAAATGTGGGGAGACAGCTTTCATTGCGCCTAAGTGTGAAATGATTCCAATTGAATGGGTTTGCAGAAGAATAGCTACTGGTTCTTTCCTCAAACGAAATCCTGGTGTCAAGGAAGGATATAAGTTTTACCCACCTAAAGTGGAGATGTTTTTCAAGGTAATTATTTTATATTTCTGTGTCTTACTATAACATAGCAACAAACTTAACAATTTCAAAATCAGAAGATTTAACCATCATTAAAGCTTTCGATATTGCAGTTGTTATTACAGAAATATATGTCAATAACATACACTTCTGTTAGCAATGATAAATCAGATTTTTAAAAGAAAACATTTGTGAAACTCTACTTAATCTTACTTTGGTTCAAGTTTGCTACCAAAATGAATAAAGTTACCTGGAAGAAAAGTAACAATTCAGAAACTTAAAATTTTTGTTGAAAAGTTTGAAGTAAAGGCTAACACAAGAGATCTTTTTATATTCAAATACAGAAAAAACTATTACCAATGTCTCTACAAGCGAAAACATAAAGATGTAGTAATTAGTGGTTATAAATTTGTATTTGTTTTCTGTATTGAAACTGCTTTTCTCTTTCCATCTTTCTTTATGGTGTTAAGCATAGTTCCAACATCAGAAGTAATGTCAGTGTAACTTTTTTAATGTTGTATTTATTTTTGAGAGAGAGAGAGGGAGATACAGAATCTGAAGCAGGCTCCAGGCTGAGCTAGCTGTTAGCACAGAGCCCAATGTAGGGCTCGAATGCAGGGTTATTATTAGATAATTCAAAAGACTTCATATAAAGACAAGTAAAAAGAGATTTTCATTTTATTCTAAGTGTCCCAATTTCACATGAAAGTTTTATTTTATGAATTTTTGATTTTTCTTATAACCATAATGTAAACATTTTAAGGTAATTAGTTCACTGATTACACTTGATTTGGGCCAAAAGACTGAGAGGCGATTTTAGTTAACTGTTCAAAAATGTTACACTGAGGGGCACCTGGGTGGCTCAGTCGGTTAAGCGTCCGACTTTGGCTCAGGTCATAATCTCATGGTTCATGAGTTCAGGCTCTCTGCTGTCAGTGCAGAGCCTGCTCAGATCCTCTATCTTCCTCTCTCTCTGCTCCTCCCCTGCTCACACTCTTTATTCATTTTTTGAGAGAGAGAGCAAGCAGGGGAGGGGCAGAGAGAGAGGGAGACACAGAATCTGAAGCAGGCTTCAGGTGCTGAGATGTCACCACAGAACCCACTGCGTGGCTCGAACTCCTAAGCCGTGAGATTATGACCTGAGCCAAAGTCAGACACTTAACGGACTGAGCCCACCCAGGCACGCCAATAAATAAACAGTTTTTTAAAAAAATAACTTTGAAACTTTTTTTTACAAAAAAATAAAAGTAGACAAATTAAAAATAATTGTTGGGGCACCTGGGTGGCTCATTCGGTTAAGCATCAGACTCTTGATTTCAACTCAGGTTGTGATCAGGCCTGTGGTTTGAGAGATCAGGCCTATGTTGGGCTCTGCACTGACAGCATGGAGCCTGCATGGAATTCTCTATCTCTCCCTCTCTCTCTCTCTCTCTCAAAATAAATAAACTTAAAAAAAATTATTACGAGTTAAAGGGTTATTTTAATCAAAAATTAAGTAGTTAGAGAAAAATATTTCTGAGGAATTCATGGTCAAGGAAAAAAGGACTTCATTTATCTCTAAAGTTTAAGGTTTTTATATGTAAAATAATTGTATTCTTACACTTTATTTGCAGGATGATGCCAACAATGATCCACAGTGGTCTGAAGAACAGCTAATTGCTGCAAAATTTTGCTTTGCTGGACTTGTTATAGGCCAAACTGAAGTGGATATCATGAGTCATGCTACACAGGCTATTTTTGAAATACTGGAGAAATCTTGGTTACCCCAGAACTGTACGCTGGTTGATATGAAGGTACAAATAAAATGGAAGTTTGAGAGTAAATATTGCAACTAAGAAATGTCTTTAGTTGTGGAGTTTTGAAAGCTTTTCTTTGGTGATATGCTGTTTCTAGATTGAATTTGGGGTTGATGTAACCACCAAAGAAATTGTTCTTGCTGATGTTATTGATAATGATTCCTGGAGACTCTGGCCATCAGGAGATCGGAGCCAACAGAAAGACAAACAGGTGAATGCTTCAGGGGTTTTTTATTCTTTGCAAGATCAGACTGGGATAGAAGTGAATAGGAAAATGGGAGGAAAAGAAAAGGCAATTATTGTTCCCTATGTTAAGAGCATAAGTTGACGGCTATTTACTTTTTAGGATAAATATGTCTTAAATTTCTTGTACCCTAAAAAAAAATAATAGGAATAGTAGTTTACAAAGCAGATTTCTCATTTATTATGACTCGCACATGACAAGTATTATCTTTGTTTGGCTAATTGAAAACTAAGGCAATGAGAGGATGATAGATACCTTATAAGAATAAGTGGCAGATCTGGAGCTCTGTCCCAAGTGTTCTGGATCTTATCAGGCTCCATTTCTGCTCTGTCTTATTTATAAAAAACAAAATTAGGGCAAATGTTCTCTATACTTCATGCATAAGAATTATCAGGGCAGTTAACTGTAGTTGCTAGTGTAGGAAAACACTTAATGAAATGAAATAAAAATACAAGTATACTTCACTGTCTGAACTCCTCTAGTCTAATTCAAGGAATGAATTTATAGATTCATACATTTTCAGATACATTCCTTGTTTTGCAAGCTCTACATAATCTACCCAAAACTCATAAATCAAGTAACTTCAGTTAGTAAGAATATTACTACTAGAATATTTGTATTCTAATTTTTCTATCCTATTTTCTAGTCATATCGTGACCTCAAAGAAGTAACTCCCGAAGGGCTCCAGATGGTAAAGAAAAATTTTGAGTGGGTTGCAGAAAGAGTAGAGGTAAAACTTTTGTAGTAAACTCATACTGTACTGTGTTTTTTTCCAAGAAAATCTAGCTTCAGAAAGGAAAATGAAAGTGAGAAAGTGCAGTTACTTTCTTTTTTCCATTGATTTTAACAAAAGGAGCACTTAAGGGCCCCTGGGTGGCTCAGTTGGTTAAGCGGACAACTTTGGCTCATGTCATGATCTCAGTTTGTGGGTTCAAGTCCCACATCAAGCTCTGTATTGACAGCTCAGAGTCTGGAGCCTGCTTTGGATTCTGTGTCTCCCTCTCTCTGTCCTTCCCCTGCTCTTGCTCTCTCTCTCTCTCACTTAAAGATGAATAAACATTAAAAAAAAAAAAAAAACACCTTTAAGAAATGTACACTGAACTGTCCTTGGTGACATATTAAAACCCCTTACTATAAAGCTGGCCAGTATACTCTCAAATTCTTTTGGGAAAAATTAGAATCCTTGTCTCCTCCCTACCCTTTAATTTCCCACCCACCTCTCCACTGCACCTCAGCGCTCCATTAGCATGGGTTCCACAAGCAGATTTCAGAATTACAAGTCCATCTGATGTTAAAATGTCACTTAAAATTTATGGTGTTATCATTATTGTAATTACATGGAAATTGAATGTGATTTATGGCTATCCAGTGGTCATAGTTTTCAGTGCATCATGTCCATGGAAATATGCAGTTTGAATTCCAAGCAACTAACAAAAAATTTATATCTTTTTTATAGATTATAAATTATTAGCTTAACAAGCAGGTCTAGAATATAGATTGGCTGATTAGGCCTTAAAACTTCAATTTAAACAGAATGTATGAAAAAGCTTAGGATGAAGTTATTTTATTATATTTTTATTGTTTGTTTATCTTTGAGAGAGAGAGAACAATTAAGGGAGGGGCAGAGAGAGGGAGAGATGGAGATAGAGAATCCACAGCAGGCACCTAGCTGTCAGCACAGAGCCAGACACGGCTTAAACTAACAAAAACCAAGAGATGATGACCTGAGCTGAAGTTGGATGCTTAACCAGCTGAGCTACCCAGGGACTCCAGGATGAAATATTTTATATTTCAGCTTCCTGAGTATTAATTAGGAGGGTTGAGTATTTATCCTTGCTTTGTATTATAGTAGTAGATATAATTTATCTCATTAAAAAATGTTACTCTTGGGGCGCCTGGGTGGCTTTGTTGGTTAAGTATCCAACTTTGTCTCAGGTCATGATCTCACAGTTTGTGAGTTTGAGCCCTACATCAGGCTCTGTGCTGATAGCTCAGAGCCTGGAGCCTGCTTCAGATTCTGCATCTCCCTCTCTCTGTAACTAGCTCTCTCTCTTTCTCTCTCTCTCTCTGTCTCTCTCTTTCTCTCTGTCTTTCTCTCTCTGTCTCTGTCTCAATATAAATAAAAAATATAAAAATTTTTTTTTAAAAATGTTACTCTTTATGCGTCCCTGGGTGGCTCAGCTGGTGAGCATCTGACTTCAGCTTAGGTCATGATCTTTAAGTTTGTGAGTTTGAGCCCACGTTGTGCTCTGTGCTAATAGCTCAGAGCCTGGAGCCTGCTCTGCTTCATATTCTGTGTCTCCCTCTTTCTCTCTGACCCTCCCTTGCTCACACTCTGTCATTCTCTCTCTCAAAAATAGACATTAAGAAAAAAATTTTTTTGAATGTTACTCTTTAGGTCTTAATTATGAAGACCACTTTTCTTTATATATAGAGGTTATTTTGAAAAAAAAATCCTCTATCATTTTCTCCTGTTTGTCTCTGTCTTGAATTTGGTTTATTGAGAAAGATAATATTCTGTCCAGGTGTAATTTTACCATAGCTCTGTATACTGACTATTCTTACGGTATTCATTTCTATATTTGTCCATTTTTTGCCATCTGTTTTTTACATGTCCGTGTTCTTCTTTTCCAGTTGCTTCTGAAATCAGAAAGTCAGTGCAGAGTTGTAGTATTAATGGGGTCAACTTCTGATCTGAGTCACTGTGAAAAAATCAAGAAGGCTTGTGGAAATTTTGGCATTCCATGTGAACTTCGGGTAACATCTGCCCATAAAGGACCAGATGAAACTCTGAGAATTAAAGCAGAGTATGAAGGTAAATGTCGTATAACTAGAGCATTTCAAGAAGTTTTCCTGATTTTGCCAAAAATTTTATGTTTAGACTGATAATGCCGAAAAAGAGCTATGCCACATTTCCGGGGGAAAAATATGGTAGTCTTGGCTTTGATGATGTGCACTTCCAATTTTAGTATATGTGCTGCCGAAGCGAGCACGATGATGTGCACTTCCAAAGAACGCACTTAGAAAAGAATGGCTCAGGGAGAAAGAATTGAAAATGCAACATGGGCACACCTAAAACTAATGCAACATCATGTGCCAACATTCAGATTTTTTTTAATGTTAAAAATAAGTAAATGGAAGAATAGAGCCCCCTCCTCAAAAAAAGAAAATGTAATATGGAAGGAAAATAAAAGCTGGGTCTTCACCTAATAAAAAGCTTCTCAAATATTGTTTCTGATAGCTCCAACAGAAAATAGGCCCCATATCAATTTTGGGAGGACTGAGGTTGAAGTAGCAGATCCTCTCAAGGATTTTTAATGGACAGCCTTTCCTAGGAGGCAGTTAAGCATGAAATTAAGGAATAATTTTAATTTTTGTTATTTAGTTATTTTTATTTTTTAAGTTTATTTATTTGTTTTTGAGAGAGTATGTGCAGGGGAGGAGCAGAAAGAGGAGAGAGAGAGTCCCAAGCAGGTTCTGCGCTGTCAGAGTGCAGCCCAATACAGGGCTCAATCTAATAAATCATGAGATCATGAAAGATTTGGACGCTTAACCGACTGAGCCACCCAGGCACCCCAAGGAATAATTTCAGAATTTAGTATATAAAAGAAATGTCTTGATGGGATAGTATTGATCTAAAATAATGGAGTCCCAGAAAACTAACCTAATGTTTCTCAACTGGGAAAAATGTTGATTTAAGTATTCTTTCTAAAGGTAGTTGTTACAGGAGCATAGTTAATTAAGTTTTGTGGGCAGGGAGACTGGGATAGTTTCTAGACTAATGAAAGCCTGAACTCTTTCTCCAGAAAAATGTAAATACATAAAATTTTGGATTTCAGGTTAGGAATCTGTGTTAAGTAATTAAGGAATAACTTATAAATTTATCAAAGAATGTAATGTTGAAAGGGAACATTAGAAAGTATATTGAAGAGACTTAAATATTTGGGTACTATATTATTGAGTCTGTCTGCCTTTATTCCAAATGCACCCCTGAACCTCTTCTCTCTGTTAATGAGGTCTTCCTATATACTGTTGGTTGAAGGACACCAGGACAGACCCTAGTTAGCATGGTGTCATTCTTTGTTCCAGTGAGCCTAAGCAGCCATAGTTGAAGGGGCCGTTGAGCTATCTCCTCACACACTATGATAATCCCTTTATACTCTAGGTCTCAAAGATGGCCACACCTCTTCTCCCTACCTTGTTACTTGAGATATAGTAGGCAGCAGAGTGAAATATGTATTTTGAATGCATATGTAATAATAGTGGCTTATTTTTGCTTTTTGTGGAGACTGCTAATAAAGGAACTGAAGGAGTTAAGGCACATAGACATTTTGTTTTAACCTATCTTAAAATCTTTCAACTACATGTTTGTAATTTCTCCAGGGGATGGCATTCCTACTGTATTTGTGGCAGTGGCAGGAAGAAGCAATGGTTTAGGACCAGTGATGTCTGGTAACACTGCATACCCAGTGATCAGCTGTCCTCCACTCACTCCAGACTGGGGAGCTCAGGATGTCTGGTCTTCTCTTCGACTACCCAGTGGTAAGATACATTAAATCTTTACAACTGTTAAAAATGTCTAACACAGAAAATAGTAGAGAGAGTAACATAAGGAAATCTCATGTACCTATTACTCAGCTTCAGCAGTTAACATCTTGTTACATCTGTAGCCCTTCCCTGTTGGATTATTTTCAAGCAGATCTGAGATAACAGCATTTCATACTTAAATACTAAGTATGCTTCTCTAAGCAATAAGAACTTTAGTTTTAAATCATAATCATACTATATTAATAATTAAGAAAAATTAATGATAATTTCTTAAAATCATTTAATTTTCAGTTAGTGTTCAAGTTTTTCTGATTATCTCATTTGTTTTTACAGTTGATTTGTTCAAATCCGGATCCATCACAGTCCTTACGTTACATTTAATAGATACCTCTCCTTAAGTCTTTTAATTCTCCTCCTTTTTCCCCCTTTCATTTATTCTATAGAATATTTCACATTTTGGATTTGGCTGACATTTCTGGATGTTGTTTAACATGCTTTTCTATCCCCTCTGTTTTCTGCAAACTGATGGCGAGATCTATAGATTACTTTCAGATTTGGGTCCCCTCCCCGCCCCCCACAGGAAGACATCATTCATGGTATTGAGTTTTTTAAAATAAATGTGATTGTTACTTCTGGAAAGGAATTCTGGAGAAAATTAAATTTTGTTTCTATAAATTAGGGACCAGAATAAGTAACATAAGTAAATTTGTCAATTGGCTTATTGAGCAGAATCTCATGAATTGTGGTAGGCTTATCATAGTCCAAGATAATGATGTGATCTATAAGTCCTGAGTCCGTATTATTTCAGTAAGAGCTGATTTGCTCGTTACTTAAGCCCCAAACTTTTTTCAAAGTTGTATAAATTTGCTCTTGGCATATGTCAAATATGTTAAGTGCTTGAGCCCTCCAACCTGTTTCACTATGGACTGGCTTCTCTCTGGGCCTACTGTCCTGCTATTGTCTTAGGATCTCTCTTTACCTAGACACGCATTTTGCCCTTCTTTAGTCTTGGATCTTCTTTTTCCTAGGTCCTGTGTCTTCCCCTTTCTCTGTTTACTCTTTAATTTATTGGAGCATTCTTAGTTAACTCCCTGAGGAAGGGGTACAGATGGAAAGCTTTTTTGACACCTCATATATCTATAACGTTTTTATCATAGCCTCACAGTCCACAATTTAGGAATGGAATTCAGGGTTGAAAGTTATTTTCCTTCAGAATTTTGAAAGCATTACTCCATTGTCTTCTATAATCTAGAGTTCTTGAGAATTCTGGCATCTTTCCACCATTCTGATTCTACCTTGGTTATAAATTTTGTTTCTTTCTAAAACCTTTTAGTCACTTTTTCTACCTATTTTTCTTAAATTTTGCAAAGGTGGGTCTTGAGTATTTTCATCTTGGGCTTCCAGGCTCTTTAATCTGGAATGCTGATTCTTTAGTCCTGAGAATTTTTCTTCAATTAATAACTTCATTCCCCCTGTATTTTCTCTCTTTTCTCATTTTTGGATTTATTATTCAAATTTGAACCATTCTGATTTCTATTTTTTCTTATTGCCTATTTTCTGGAGTGTTTCTTAACTTTATATTCCAGCCATTCTATTGAGTTTTTCATTCTAGATACAGAATTTTTTTTTCCCAAGAGCTGTTTTTTTGTTCTCTGGTCTTCCCCGTCCCCCATCCTTTTCTTGTTTAATCTTTGCAATAACATTTTTTATCTCTCTGAAATTACTATAGTTTGTTTGACATTCTTTTTCTCACCTATCTGGTGTCTGGTAATCCTTGGCTGTTCTTGTTTAAGAGTACAGCTTTAGAAAAGATTGGTGGTAAGGGGGGGCGCCTGGGTGACTTAGTCGGTTAAGCGTCCGACTTTCGCTTAGGTCATGATCTCACGGTTCGTGGGTTCGAGCCCCGGGTCGGGCTCTGTGCTGACTGCCAGCTGGGGCCTGTTTCAGTCTGTGACTCCCTCTCTCTCTGACCCTCCCCTGCTCACGCTGTCTCTCTCTCTCTCCTAGAAATAAATAAAACATTAGAAAAAAAAAATTCAAAAACATTGGTGGTAAGGGTGTCAAGTGAATGAAACTTGTCAAAAGTGGGCTCCACTATGGGGTGATCTGGAAGGGTTATTCTTTGAAAAACCCCTTGCATCACTATCACTTCATCTTTTCTCATGTGTGACCAGAATTACCCAAAAAATCTTTCTAGTCCCAGTCTCCTCTACCTGGGGGAATAAACCTGGCTGCCAGCATTCTGGAATTTGGTGATTTTAACACGTATATAAACTAAATTCCCTGTTTTCACTGTGGTATTTCTTAACTCAACTGTACCTGGTGCCCTCCAGTCCACAGAAGTCTGGACCAATGTCTATTTTACCTTCAGAAAAAAATTAAAGATTCCACTATTATGCAGAAAGGGTAATTGCTCATGTACATTAATGGGGTAGGGGATCTGATGGCCTAATGGCTTCTCAACTTTCAGCCAATCTTCTTTTTTTTTTTTGGCCTCATTTTCACCTCCATTTCTCCCTTCAGAGATACCTGGTGCCACTAATTCTACAACCTTTGTTGTTGTTTTTTAATGTTGGTCATATTGCTTTTCCTTTTTCCCTGCATCCAGTTGAGGATAAAATTTTCCTGTTTACTAAGTTAGTTACCACTCCATTTCCTGTTTAGCTGGCAAAATGTTATTGCTGTATCTCCTTGTTCTTACATGTTTATGTCTGTTTTATTTCCTTTACTATGTTTTTACTATTTTTAAAATTTTTTTAAGCTTTGGTAGATCATTTTTAATTAATTCAAGTACAGAAAATAGGATGCCATTAATAAAAATATTTTTACAGCTGGACATATTTGGTCTATAGTCAGGAAACATATTGAACAAACTTTTTAGTATAATATTTAGCATTTTGGTATAATATAAACTAGTATAATATTTAGCATAATAATTTACTGCTGTTTACTGTTTTGGGAGTACACCTTGTGATTAACGCAAATTTAGATCTTTAGGTAGATACCTGATTGTATCAACTACTCTAGTGAAAAATTTACTATGGCTATAAATGAAAGTATAAATAAATTTATGCTAGAGGAATAGTATAGGTGTTACCAAGGGACTTTAGAAAAGGGGGGATGTGATGAGCAAAACTTTCGCTGTTTTTATCTAGTACTGTCCAAGGAGAAAGGGAATCCAAAGGTTTGTGCATTCTGATCACCAGAATTGAGGATAATCTTTTGGGGTAAAAGTTTTACAGTGGCCTTTGTAAAACCCTGAAAACTGTATTTCTCTTTCTCTTATGGCATGCTCATTTATCTGTATTGAGTTGTTGAATCCTCACATAAGATAACCACTAGTTATCATTCTCATCTTGATAAGGACACTAAAATGAGCATTAAGTAACTTGACAGCTGTCACATAGTAAGTGATGGAGCTACACAAATTGATTTAGTAATACAAACTAATAAATTCACCTTGTGAATTACACTTTATTCTTATTGAGGGTAGTGGGAGTCAGGGCCTGATGAATTCTGAGACTATTAGAAATGAAGCTTTTGGATCTGTAAGCTAGTTAGCACTTGAGTCGAGTGACACAGAGGTAATAATACCACCCCGAGAACTTCTGCCTGAGCAAACCTGTGCCCCCCCAAGGAAGTTACTTTTTTACTATACTGTCTTTTTTAGATCTCATTAATACTGAATTTACATATTACCTGATATTTGGTAAAATTCTTCCTTGTTTGGATTATACTTTGTTATTGCTTAAGTGTTTAGAATAGTTTAATTGCAAAGACAAAAGTAGCAGCTAGGAAAAATTAACATACTTCAAATTTGTCTAAGAACAGGTGCTTCTGTCTACTTGATTCTTGTTTTATTTTTGTTGCTTTTCACCAGGAATTTAAAGGTTTATTATATGTGAGAAGAATTTTCAAAAAGGTGAATTTCTTTACAGTCAGATTCAGTAAAAAGAGTGAGAGACCATGCGTATAAAATAGCTTTTCATGGTACAGAAGTATTATCCTCTTAGAATGCCCTTTACCGCTCCAGTAGTAGATACGGAAACCCCTCCTGCAGATCCTACTTCAGACAAGGATGACACAGTAGCTTTGTATGGTCTTTGGTTAACAGGACTTCTCTGAATGTAAAATAGTTTGCTGGGGGGCCTGGCTGGCTCAGTTGGTAGAGCATGTAAATCTTGATCTCGGGGTCATGAGTTTGAGTCCTGCATTGGGTGTAGAAATTACTGTTAAAAAAATAATTTACTAATGGTGTTTTCATTATTGACAGCTTAATTTTCTGTCTTTTCCTTTTTGAACCACTAGGTCTTGGCTGTTCAACCATACTTTCACCAGAAGGATCAGCTCAGTTTGCTGCTCAGATATTTGGATTAAACAACCATTTGGTATGGGCCAAACTGCGAGCAAGTATATTGAATACATGGATTTCCTTGAAGCAGGCTGACAAGAAAATCCGAGAGGGCAACTTATAAGAACATCACTGTTTTTGTTTGTTTTTGTTTTTAGGAGAAAAACTACATTTCTTGTTTAGCTTCAGGAAAAAAAATAAAGAAAGATAAAAAGGTTTTAAGTCAATCAGAGAAAACAAAATTTACTAGTGAATAAATGCTTTTCTAGGTTCATGGGTTAGTAGACTATATGGATATAATTGTTAATATTTCTTTAGGGGAAGTGAAATTACTGTAAGAATACTTTTAAAATCTCTTTAGCTACTGTATGGTCATTGTTAGGTAGATAACATAATCAAATATATTTCTTAAATGCTAATAATGTCCTATTGTCAAGCTCTAAAATTACTACTTGACCTTCTGTATCTCAACCTATAAGTTTTAGAAAGTTAAAATACCTGTATCTTAGAGTGATAAGAGAAAAATATTGTCATCTTTTACATTATGATCTTTACAAAGTCCTAAGGGCATGCTGTGTTATTTGTAGTCAGTATCTCAGAATAGATGTGTTTTTAGCGATAGAGATGCTGCTTTGTTTTGTATCTGCTTGCTTGTTTTCTTAAGAAAAGTTGAGGTGGGTGTTGAGGGTAGGGAAGACAAATGAAGTAAGATAAAGGGATACTGTAGAAGCCATGGAAAGGGGACTTTTCTGAGAACTTCTATGATGGGTGTCAGGGCAGTTCCCCATGAGGGAGGGGAAGTAGAATATAGGTCAACTTTGCCATTCCAAATGAAAGATACAGTAAATCATACTTAGCTATAATGGGTGCCTCTGTGATCCTAAAATTCTTTTAATTCTGATAATACATGTTTTAGCCAAACTAACAATCCTCAGCCTAATATCATTTTCCAAAACTGGAATCTCCTAGTTGATAACCATTAAGTAGTTTCTCTTCTTAGAAGTCTGAGCAGGGTACCCAGTTGAGATTCACCTCTAAAGGAGCAGTTGTTACTGAGAGGTGTTATAGTTCATCATCAGTCTATAAACCACATTTGGAAATTAGGTTGTGCAGTCCTGAGGACTTTTTTATAGATCACTAAAAAATAAGTAAAATTTTACATATATGTTCACATTTATAAAAATGGGGCAATCATAGTTTTTATCCAAAGGATCTGTATCCTCAAAATGTTAAGAATTTCTTGGGTGCCTGGGTAGCTTAGTTGGTTAAGCCTCTGACTCTTGATTTTGGCTTGAGTCGTGAACTCACAGTCCTGAGATGGAGCCCCGCAGCAGGCTCAGCTCTGGGAGTGGGGTCTGCTCTCCCCCTGCCCCCACCCCACTTATTCTCCCACCCCCTCCTCCCCTCCACCTTCAAAATTAACTTTCTTTAAAAATGTTGATCCCTGCTACAGATCAAATCTGGATAAGACCCTTGCGACTGGCTTACACTGTCTATACCTTTTCACCTCCCTCTCAGCTGTTAGCAAGCTATCCTTTCATATCATTTCTTTTACCTGGTCTCCGTGGGGTGGGTTATGATTGATCTTACCTCTTCTTTCTTGGATTAGACACCAAAATACTCCAACCTCAATCCTGATGTTTTTCTTACATTATTCTTTCCCCTTAAGTATTGAGGTTTCCTACACAGCCTCTCCATTTTTGCAAGTAATCATTGGAGTAACTCCTTCAGCTAAAACTAGTATTACTGATTGCCAGCTCTGTGTTTGTAGTCTTGTATTTCTGTCTGAATGCTTTAAACTTAATTCATCTTCCAGCCAGCCTGTTAACTCTGGCTACTCTCACTGCCCCAAATCAGAAGTGTTATTTCATCCTTGGTGTTTTTCTCTTACATTTCACAGCTCACTTGTTACCAAGTTTTTAATTTACCCATCATCTATACAAAAGCAAGTGGAGGTCAAATTCTACATTATTAAGCTGATCTAGAAGGTCTTCATTCTGTTTTGAAGTTGTCCAGGACTTACAATATAAACTTGCAATCTCTTTTACAATATAGACTCCTTTGAAAATGAATGCCATTGACTCTGTCCCTAAAAATTACACACAAAATTTACCAACAGATTTCATTGGTTTTTGATGTTCCCTTGAAGCCAATTCATGGTCTGTAGTTTGTACTTTAAGAATCACTGATGAAACTTATCAAGGGAACTCTCTTTCCATAGTTTTTTGCCTATCATTTAATCTGTCTCTTAAATTCTTAGAATGAACTATTAAAATCTATTCTGTTATTAAAATCTATTTGTTAGGTACTAGTTTCATCTTCACTGTCTCCCTGAAACCTTTCCAAATCTCTTCTAGCTACAATGGCTACAAGTAGTTCTTTGTTGGGTTGGCATTTCCAAGAAAGAAGATAGAATCTTACACTTTATTTCCTTACTCACATAGCCATGTGCTATGCCTGTCTGCTAGAGATGGGAGAATTATTAAAAAATCAGGTTATGCTTCATAAAGATTTCTTCATATCATAAAGATATGATTTTAATGTCTTTAAACTTTGGCTTCGTGGCTTCTGAATAGTCATTGGCTGCAATTTCAACTCTTCTTTCCCTACCTAGCAAAAACTCCACCTATTTTTGTGTAGTACATGAAAAAATCTTAAACATTTATTTAGACTAGTGGATAGGACTGACCTTTTTTTAAAGTTTGTGTTTGTTGTTTTGTTAGAGACAGAGAGAGCGCAAGCAGTAGAGGGACACAGAGAGAGGCAGAAGCCCAGGCAGGCTCCACACTGCCAGCACAGAGCCCGAAGTGGGACTCAAACTCATGAACCACAAGATCATGACCTGAGCTGAAGTCAAGAGTCAGACACTTAACTGATTGAGCCACCCACACGCCCCAGGACTGACCATTTTTAATGGTCATTATCCATTTCGTTATTAGTTTCATAGAGTATATATATCCTCAGTAGTGTTGTTTCATTAGTACTAGAGTAAGTACTTGTTTGAAAGTATTTTAACTGTTACATAAATTTACTTCTACAAATCTACCTGTTTTGTCATCTTTGGGTGTTTGTACTTTCTGTGGGCTTGTAAATAAACATAAAAAGAAGAAAAATTTCTCCAAGTAATGTAATACTTAAACTTTGTATCATAAAGCCATGTTACAATTGCTGTTGCTTTAATGCCTTCTGAAATGTAAACACTGTAGCCAAATAAAAGACAAAGATAGGTTCTTCTGTGAAACTGTGTTAATTCATCTATTCATGAAATACATGTATTGCCTGGTTTAATTCTAGGCCCTAGGACAACAGAGGTAAATAGAAACAAGGCCCCCCACTGTCACAAAATCTTACTGGGGAGAACAAACCATGAAAGATTGATCAGGTAGAGTTAGGGAAGTATAAATGCATATGAAGATGAACCAAGGTGATAGGACAGTGTTGGGAATAAGAGGAAGCTTTCTGAGTAGAGCAAAGCAAGGATGTAAAAGAGCAAGCCATGCAAAAATGTGAGGAAATTGCTTGCTAGACTAAGAAAGGAAGCAAACCAGCTTTGCCTTTTTGCGCACCTACAAACATATTGCTGGAGCTCTGGTGAGCAAAGGCAAGAATGGAAGATGATGATGTAAGCAAAGGCTAGATCACTTGGGGCCTACACGTAATGTGAAAGGAAAAAACAAAAGCTTGAGCAGGATCATGACATTTAACGTGTTTTTTAATCTCTCTGGCTATTGTGTAGATAAGTCAGGAGATGGGTTAAGGGGGTATTACAGTCCAGATGAGGGGTGATGTGACCTTCAGTAAATTAAATGTCACGCCTCAACTGCTACAAATGTAAAATGAGACATACTACTTCCCTCATACTGTTAAGAGAATTAAATCAACATATGTAAAGTATATGCTGACACATGAATACATTTTTTAACATTCCTTTGGCAGACTAGAAGATGAGTGGAACAAATTCACCATGAAAAAATTACGTTGAATTTATTTTTTTAAATGAATTTAATATTATGTTCAGCTGATTTCATTTCTAAAAATAGGGAAAGATAGGGAATTAACATAATTGGACTGAGCCACAGTCCATCTTCAGCCCAGCAGTTCTTGGGAAGCCAGTGAAAATGTTTTAATGGTGCTTTTTTTTTTTTTTTTTTGCATTTAACACCCCACAACCTAAAATTACTTAGCATGAAGTTGTTCATCTACCATTGTGGTACAGTGAAAATAGAATGGAAATAAAAGGATTTTCTTGGGCACATCATTCCTTAAGCCTAATTTCTCATTTGTAAAGCAGGGTTAAATATTTTTTTCTGCCTGCTTCAGAGTGGCTAAAATGACCGATACTATACATGGAAGTTGCTCAGAATCACAAATGACTAAATCTATTAGTGCAAAAATAAGGTTTTGAGTACTGATGTGCAAGATACTGGGGATGCAACAATGAACAAGATTCATTTTCTGCCCTCAATCTTGGGAGTCTTCCGAGGACAATTTCAAAACACTGCATTGTCTTAACCTGGAGTAAAGGAGCAGGGATTCTGAGCTCACAAAAGAGGAGGAGATTTAAAGAACAAGTATATATTGTCAGTAAAAAGGACTCAGGAAGGATTCTTAACTCCCCACTATTCTCAATCCCTCTTACCTTAATTTTCTTCATTGAATTTATTACCACTGGGCACTGTCTATATCTCTCCCACCTAGAAAATGCATTCCATGAATACACTAGATTGTCTCTTTTGTTGTTGTTAATTATATACCTACCCAACTAGTAGAATGCCAGAAACCAGCACGTATGAAGCATTCAGTAATATTTGAAGTGGATAAATGTGCAAATTCCCATAGGTACGGCAACATGGAACTACATGTAACTAAATATCAGAGAAGTGTAACATGCAAGGGGACTAGGGAGTAACAAAAGACCTATGTGGGTTGGGGAGGTAGCAAGCAGAGGCCATGTAATATAGGGCCTTACATGATAGGCTTCTGGATTTCATGCTGAGGGTAGGAGAATGGCATCACATAAATAAATGCTTTAAAAAAAAAAAGATCATGCTGGCTTGGAAGACTTGTCTCAAAAATGGCAGACATAATCCATATATTTATATCCTATTTGCCACAAAACTCCATTAAAATTACAAAAGAAACAAACAGGAATCCATAGAATTCTGAGGAATTTCTAGAAGCTGCATAGTATATGGGATCAGACTGATGAGGAAACCAAAATTGTGAATCCTTTTGTAAAGTCAATGTTTTAAGAAGTTAGAGAATCCCACTAAAGCAGTGGTTCTTAACCTTTGGTGGTGGGGCTATAGTATTAAAAACACCTTTGGAGAATCTAATCTGATGAGAGCTGTGAAACCTTTTCTCAGAAAAGTTCACACAAAATTTCAGGCATATCAGATGTCATCCGGCACTTCCTTAACCCCCTGAAATCTAGGCATAATTAGCTTAAAATTTGTGATAGTTCCACAGTAACTGAAAGTCCACAACTCTTCCATTTTTATTAATTTACAGAGATCATATCCTCCTGAGCTCTTAGAATTCACTAGACCAATAGTGCTGTTTTTACACTGCATTATACTGACCAGACATGAAACGCGCCAGATACCAAAGGACACAACCATGAGCTGGACAATACCTTCTGCCCTGAAGGAACTCAGATTAGGGGAAACATAAGCAAAAACTCATTCACTTAAAAAGTTGAGTACCAACTATGTGCCAGGCAGTATGCTAGAGCTTAAGGATACTGCCATGAATAAGGTTAGATATGGCTTCTGGCCTCATGGAAGTGAGAGTCCATATAAAGAGATAGGCCTTAAATGCTGAGTGCTCAGAAGCAAAGGGCTATATTAGAGAGTAATGGGGAATGTTGCTAGTCTGCAAGGTCAAAGAAGTAACTTTAAGAAAAAAATTTTTTAACATTTTTTATTTTATTTTTTGAGAGACAGAACGTGAGCAGGGGACAGGCACAGAGAGAGGGAAACAGCATCCAAAGTAGGCTCCAGGCTCTGAGATATCAGCACCGAGCCCAAGGCGTCCAGCCCACAAATGCGAGATTATGACCTGAGCCAAAGTCAGACACTTAACGGACTGAGCCGCCCGGGCACCCCTTAATTTCTTTTAATGTTTATTTTACTTTTGAGAGATAGAACATGAGCAGGGGAGGGGCAGAGACAGAGGGAGGCACACAGAATCTGAAGCAGGCTCCAGGCTCCAAGCTGTTGGCCCAGAGCTCAATTCCAGGCTCGAACTCATGAACTGTGAGATCATGACCGGACTGGAGATACCATGCTTTACCCATTGAGCCCCCCAGGCGCCCCAAAGAAGTAACTTTTTTTAACCTGGAACTAGGATACAGAAATATTGAAGAATGAAAGCAGGATGCTGAGAAAGAGAAGAGAGGGGAAGTGGCAAGAGTTAGCAGGATTTTAACAATATACGAGTCTGCAGAGTAGGTGTTCAACATGTCCTGTCATTCTCAAGAGTACTCAATAGCTACTCTGTTCTGGCATTCAAATATATCCTGGTATTTAAGTTCTTACCAAAACTATAAACCTCCCATGTCTATGTATTACTTGAGATGCATGAGGTATCTTTTATCCCTAGAATTATGTTTTCCCTATTTTACGGTCAGGAAAACTGTTGGACTCATAAATAACTTGCTCATAGGCATCTATAGTGAGTCGCAGAGCCAGGAACTAAATCAAGGCATTCTAGCCCAAAACACATTATCCTTTGGCCCTTAGCGCCGACTGCTGCTGAACTGGAGCCTAAAGGGCAGTCGAGGAAGGGCACGTTTCATCAAACGGGCTTTGTACTTGGAAGTTCTTTATTTCTTCTATGCCTTTCCTCAGATTTGCTTCTCTGCCAGACCTCTACCCAGGCCCAACCCCAGGTTTTCCTAATCTTTCAAGATCCTTTTCAAATACCATTCCTTTGTGAAGTATTCTCCAGCAGCAGAGAGAACCGCCTCTCTCCCTCTCCTTCAGAGGTCTCCCTATGGTTTCTAGCTAGTATTTTAGCACCCTACAGACCTTTTATTTATCTTCCGTAGGCCGTCACTCAGCCCCGCCTCGTGGTACCAGGGTGCTGCTTCGCCGGCAGCGGTAGCCCCGGAACCGCGGGCTGCTTTGAACCAATACTGTATGGTGAATCCCTTCTGAACCCCTTTCCGGGGTACGACACTCGTTCCTCAGATCGGCTTCAGGTAAGATGTATCGACTCTACCCAGGCAGATTCCTATAAGATCTCGGCCTCCGATGCTGACTCAGGCAGGAGGCCGCTTCCCGACTCCGAAACGCTTAGCAACCACCAGCTTCCTCCTCCACTTGGCCACCTCAGAAATCCTCTTCCGGGTCAGAGGTGGCCCCGCCCCTTTCCGAGTCTCCTTCAAGATGGCGAGCGGCAGCGGCGGCGGCGGCGGCGGGGGGGTTTCGGTGCCTGCCCTCTGGAGTGAAGTGAACCGTTATGGCCAGAACGGTGACTTCACGCGCGCTCTTAAGACCGTCAACAAGAGTAAGTGTCACGGCGGGCGCCGAGGCGGGCCCAGGCCGGAGGGAGGACGCGGACCGGCGCGCGCGACCACCTCCAAGTAGACTCGGCAGGAGGAGACCCGGCCGCCTGCGGCAAGGGCCGGAACACTAGGCGGGCGTGGGTCGCAGCCCCTCAGTGACCAGCCCTAGGTCCGGGGTTGCCGAGAGCCACGTGTACTCCCCTCTTTACCCATCGCGGGAAGTGAGGGTGGAATTTAAAGGGACCGCAGCTCCAGGCGCCTCTTCCAAACCGTTTTCTTATTTGACTCTTAGGTTTTTACTCCTTAATTCGCAAATAGCCCACATCGCCACCTTTTGTCTTTCCTTTTAGCGGAGTGTTCAAGACTATTGCTGAGGGAGCTTGTTCTTTCGGGACGCAGCGGAGGGAGGAACCTATTAGGGACACGTAGTTTAGAAGCCGGGGCTGACAAGGTGGACGCTGTACAGACTCAGGAAAGAGGGAAAAGGACTCCTACTGATAAAGCTGTTAGGCCTGTCACTCCCACCGATAGACTCTGTCTAGTGTCATCAGATCAGAAAATATGTGTGAAAAATCACTAACATTTGAAATAACGTCGGAAGAAAAGTTTGGCCTCATTTTTTTTTTTTTTGGCCCTGTAACGGATGATTTCAAGTCAACTGCCTTTCATGTGAGGTTTACATATTATATTCGTTTATCCTTTACTGTGTGACTATAATATGACCAGGCTTTGTAATGCTCTCTGTCATGCTAAATTCTTTACTGAAGATGCAGCCTGTATTTGGGAGATTTGGGAAGTGATTGCCAACACAGGGTTTGGCTGTTTAAAGCAGTAATAACGTTACAAATTATGTCAGTAGCATGCAGGATTGTGTAAATAATTTTTAATATCCAATTGTTAACGTAAAAAGAAGTGATTGTGCCCACAGTGCACTTCGGTGCTTTCAGACATTAAGGAAAATAGCTACTGATTAGAGTTCATTTGATTCATTCCTAAGCTTGTTTTGAACTAACTTTAGCCTTTGGCTAGGCCTGCAACCCATACTATTCAGTAGCAATATGGTAAGTATTTTGCATGAATTCTTTAATCACCAGGTTTATCAATCAAGTTATCAGTGTATTTATCAATATAGTTTTTCTTAATTGGTAAAAACTTCTTTGGTTTTTATACAAGAATTAGGCTTTATTGTTGCCCAGGGGAAAGGCGAGTGATCGTGATCATTTTTGACACAGAACAGCTGTTTAGCTTTGAAACTTTGCCCCTAAGTCCTTCCTTGTCCCCTTTTGGTTGGTCATCTTAGGTGAATACGGAAATTTTTAATGGTTTTTGGAAATATTGCCCCCCAAAATAAGTTGTGTTTGTGCATTTCACAGCTTATAGGTTTTTCTAAAATATTCTCATTTAATCTTCTTAATAGTTTGTAAATGGGTTACACTTTCATACTCATTTTACAGATCAGAAAGCTGGTATTTGTCAGTGAAATGATTTGCCCAAGACCTCGAGACATTGATGAGAAGCTTGTACTCAAACCTAAGTCATTTGCTCCCAAATTCTGCAGGAACTTTACTTCCTCTGTGAACTAATGAAATGTGTAGGATTAGGATGTAGCATGTGTCCTAAGATGGAAAAGTCAGAGAAAATAGCTTCTTAATCCTTATTTCTTTTTTTTTTCTTTTTTTTTTTTGCCAAATGCATCTTGGGAATCTATCTCATTGAAAAATCTTACTAAATTAAAACTGTCTTTGTTGCCACTTTTTTTTGAAATATTTTTTTATTTTTATTTATTTTTGAGAGAGAAATAGAGAGCAAGCAAGGAAGGGGCAGAGAGAGGGGGGACAGAGCCCCAAGCAGGCTCTGAGCTGTCAGCACAGAGACCGCCCAGTGCCGGGCTCCAACTCACAAACCCATGAGATCTAGACCTGAGCCAAAGTCAAGACTCTGGACACTTGACTGAGCCACCTAGGTGCTCCCCTTATTGCCACTATTGTATCAACTAATTGTTGCTGCAGTAAATTGGAAATGTAGCTTCTTGAGGCAGGGGGTGGGAAAATTTAGTAAAAATGTGAAAAGGGAATGGATTTTAAAACTGTTTTCCTAAAATTGTTCTTAGTACTACAGATCAACAAGGATGATGTAACTGCCCTACACTGTAAAGTGGTATGCCTTATTCAAAATGGAAGTTTCAAGGAAGCCTTGAATGTCATCAACACTCACACTAAAGTGTTAGCCAAGTAAGTGATTTAGTTGTGCAGTTATTAGAAATACGTTTACCATAGCTCTAACCATTTCCATGGTTTTTCTTCTCTATTCATTGATTTTTGACTTTTTTTTTCTTTCCTTCCTTTTTTGTTTGCCAGTAGTATTTCTGAAACTGGAAGGAGCAGTAGTGTCTTTGTTCTTTTCTGCCATAAGGAGTGTTTTCTCTTAATTTTGTTTATTTGAGAGAGAGCATGCGAGTGGGATGGGCAGAGAGAAAGAGAATCCCAAGCAGGCTCTCCACGGACAGTGCAGAGCCCCATGCAGGGCTTGAACTCATGAACCCTGATGTCATGACCTGAGTCATTCAGATGCTTAGCTGACTGAGCCGCCCATGTGCCATAGGGACCCTTTTTCTTTACCTCTATCTTCCCTTTGAACTACTAAGAAGCAAGTAAACTGCTAAAGGATATGGGGCATAAATGTAATGATTTCTTGGAGGACATAAGGAGAACAACTTAGAAGTTTAATTAAAAAAAAAAAAAGACAGAATTGGGAGAAGTAGGGTAAGGATGTATAAGTAGAGGCCTTCAGGATAGTATGGCAATCTTAGCCTGGCCTCTGTGCCTACCTCCTTTGAGAATGGTTTAGGTGAGTATGATTTTAGGCCAGGATCATTCAGTTTTAGAGTTCTTTAGCAATCTTTAAAATGTATAGTAATTGTTGTTATTGTTAGTTTTTTCCATTTAGCATTTCATGAAATGTAAACTTACATTCTAAATTATTACTGTAATTTGATTTTCTTTATACTTATGCCTAAGTCCCAAAAGAAATGTGTATTGAATAAAGTTTGCAGCATATTTACCCTTTTTTTTTTAATGTTTATTCATTAGAGAGAGAGAGAGAATGAGCAGGGGAGGGCCAGAGACTGAGAGGAGGACAGAAGATCCAAAGCGGGCTCTGTACTGACTGCAACAAGCCCAATGCGGGGCGTGAACTCACAAACCGTGAGATAATGCCCTAAGCCAAAGTTAGATGCGCAACCAACTGAACCACCCAGGTGTCCCCAGCATATAAACTCTTTAGTGAAATATTGGTTTATAAATTTTAAAATGGTGTACAATGTACCCTTGAACAATGCAGGCATTATGGGCACCAGCCCTCCATGCAGTTGAAAATTTGCATATTACTTTAGACTCCTCAAAAATGTTACTGCTCTCCTGTTATTCACTGGAAGGACATAAACAGTCGATTAACTCCTACTTTTAGGTTATATGTGTTATATACCATATTTGTACAATAAAGGAAGCTAGAGGAAAGGAAATGGTATTAAGAACGTCGTAAGGAAGAGAAAATACACTTAAGGTTTTATACTATATTTAATTTTATTTTACTTATTTATTTATTTATTTATTTCTAGGAGAGAGAAAGAGAGAGACAGCGTGAGCAGGGGAGGGTCAGAGAGAGAGGGAGTCACAGACTCTGAAACAGGCTCCAGGCTCTGGAGGCTCGAACCCACGAACCACGAGATCATGGCCTAAGCGAAAGTCGGACGCTTAACCGACTAAGCCACCCAGGCGCCCCATACTATATTTATTTTAAAAAATACACGTATAGGGGTTCCTGGGTGGCTCAGTCGGTTAAGCGTCCAACTTCAGCTCAGGTCATGATCTCATGGTTCATGGGTTCTAGCCCCGCGTCGAGCTCTGTGCTGACAGCTCAGAGCCTGGAGCCTGTTTCAGATTCTGTGTCTCCCTCTCTCTGACCCTCCCCTGCTCATGCTGTCTCTCTCTCTCTCACTCTCTCTCAGAAATAAAAAAAAAAGAAAGAAAAAAATACACATATAAGTAGACTAATGCAGTTTGACCTGTGTTCAAAGGTCAACTGTATAGTTAATGTACTTCTTTTTATATAAGCAAAGGAGGATATAAGAATTTATATGTGTATTTTCCTGAATTTACAAAAACAAACCCTAGATGGAGAATAGTGAGTTAATCACTTGTAGGAGGTAAAGGGGAACAGGGTAGATATGAATAGCAGTGGGAATAAAGCCTCTTTATAGCTTTTTGGGCTTTAGGTTTGTTTTTTTTAACTATATATACATGCAGATAGATGGAAAACTAATTTTAAAACTTTATTAAAAATAAAGGGGAAGTAGAGGGGAACTGCTTTCTAGTAAACATGTTTATACTAAAATTCAATATTTCTTGGGTTTTGGCCATTTTGTGGGATAGGGAAATTTTCAAATAATTTTTTTAGGCAAGTAAATAAAGGATATTGTCATATACTTCATAAATATTCTTCCTCATGGGTTATGGTTAGAACTCCAAAATGAGTTTCAGGTTGTCTTAATAGTGTACTTGAGTTAAATCAATGTAGATAAGTAGTGTTTTTATTGTTGTGTGTTTACCACTTGTTTGATTATAAGCACTATGTTCTTTTAAGATTTTAGTTACCTTTGCTATTTTGATTCTTGAACAAACGTAAAACAGCTTTATAGGACTTATGATTTATTATTTAATAGATTTAAGAAACTTACATAATAACCCATTTAAAGTAGTGTTCAGGTTGTCTTTTTGTCTAAGATAGTTATTTAGCTGATTCATGATTTCATTCTTATTTTTTTAAATATCTGTTTTTGGGGCGAGCACGAGTCAGGGAGGGACTGAGATGGGGACAGAAGATCTGAAGCAGGTTCTGCCTGTGCTGACAGGCTGACAGCAGTGAGCCCGATATGCAGCTCAAACTCATGAACTGCAAGCATTATTTCATGCTTAACTGTTTGTTTCAAAAGACCAATAATTCTAATAATATCCATGAAAGGAAGAGAGCAAGGGAAATGGATTAGCATTTTCTGCCATTTGTGAACTGTTTTTCAGACATGTCACTAAATGTTGCCAGTTTTCCTCATCTGTTGTTAATGGGTATTAAATGACTTCATACAGATCAGATGCTTACAGCTGTGTCTGGCATATGGTGGGTGCTCTCCAGTGTTAGCTAATGACCAGATATTGGGGTTTTTTTTCTTTTTCAGTAATTCTCTTTCCTTTGAGAAAGCATATTGTGAGTACAGGCTGAACAGAATTGAGAATGCCTTGAAGACCATAGAAAGTGCCAATCAGCAGACAGACAAACTAAAGGAGCTTTATGGACAAGTGGTAATTACTGCTTTAAAATACCTGTTGACATTCATCCTGAGTGAGCATGATTATACCTGTAGTGAGGAGCAGGGATGAGGAGCTCCAGTCCATCCGGAAAACTTGCCACCAAACAAATTCCTGAGGTTTGAATATAGTCCCTCTTGAACTTCACACAAACCTTTGCATATATAATATTCTACCAATAAATGACTTCATCATGGTAATTAAAAAATTAAAGAAAATTTAAAACTATCCTATGAAATTATAACTTTTTAATTGGAAAGATGAAGGCCAGTCAGATACTTACACAGTTTTGAAGTTGTATTTCTGTCTAGTTTTTAACACATGATGTTCTAAGGTTAAAATGAAGTAAATCATGATGGATAAGAATTTGGATGTATTCAGCTAGCTTATGAAATCCCTAAAATATCTTATTCTGAAAGGGTTTTGAGACCTGTTTAAGCCTAATGTAAAATTGGGGCTTTTAGGGATGAGAGGACAGAAATGCTTATTAGATTTAGCAAAATCCTATTAAAGATTTTTCAAATGTCAGGGCATATATTGTTGTATTAAATGTATTGTTCCCAAGAGATAGTATGAGTTTAACAGTACATATAGGTTGGAGAAAGATTTGGGCAAGTTCATGGATTGTAGGTTTGGAAAGAACTTCTAAGGTAAGCTGGGCAAATTGAGGGTAAATTCCAGCATTTTGAGATTGATGAAGGGCACCAATCTCTGTCATACATGGTTGACTTAATTTTCCCAGAGTGGCAGTTCTTCTTGCCCTTTGAGAACAGCTTGAATGAAATAAGCAGGAATTAGGTTCTGTGTACTTGATATTACCCTTTTACTGGCTCCATTTTGGGAAAGAGAAAATGAAGATCAAATAAAGCGAACTCCTATGAAATATTAAGTCCTTTTGTTGGCATCTAATTTTGTTCTTGTTTACCAGAACTTATTACTCATTTTGTGCGTGGGAAAAATTTTTTCATTGTAAGTCAGATCTAGATAGCAGGGTGATTTCTTTGGAAAGGTTTTCTTTCACAGCCCAGTTAGGCACTTAGCCAGCCTCAGGAAGGAGGTAAATACAATGACTTTTCTTTTTGGATCATGCCTACAAATCTGTAGAATTGAAGAGATTCATTGCAAGTAACTTTTTACAAGTATTAGTAGCACACAGAACTAATTGAAAAGTTATAAAGGAAAACTGTTGATTACCCATAACATGCTAAATTAGGTTTTCTACTTAGTGATTCCAAAAATGATTTGCATGTTGTTTGAGACATAATACTGTATTTGTCTTCTCTGATTTTTTATTTGCTATTTGTCTCCTAGCTATACCGGTTAGAACGCTACGATGAATGCTTAGTGGTGTATAGAGATCTTGTCCGAAACTCCCAAGATGATTATGATGAGGAGAGAAAAACAAACCTTTCAGCAGTTGTTGCAGCTCAAAGCAATTGGGAAAAAGTGGTTCCAGTGAGTATCCCCGTGTACCCACACAACTATGAAACAATATTTCTATCTAGTGTTTGACTGTTATTTTGCTCCACAACAGGAGAACTTGGGTCTCCAAGAAGGCACACATGAACTGTGCTACAATGCTGCATGTGCACTGATAGGACAAGGCCAACTGAGCCAGGCAATGAAAATCCTACAAAAAGCTGAAGGTTGGAAATTTATTAAAATTATGTGTAGCTGTAATGTGTGTAAAACTTAAAATAATATTTCCAAAAATTGCATTCAACTTTTGTGAAGTTTATAGGTGGAAATATTGATGTATTAAGAGTTTTAAAACGTTCGTCTAACTTTATGAGGCACCTGGATGGCTCAGTCGGTTAAGCATCCAACTTCAACTTAGGTCATGATTTTGCAGTCTGTGATTTCAAGCCCCAGGTCGGGCTCTTTGTTGACCGTTCAGAGCCTGGAGCCTGCTTTCAATTCTGTGTCTCCAGCTCTCTCTACCCCTCCCCTGCTCATGTTCTGTCTCTCTCTCAACAATAAATAAACACACAAAAAAAGTTCATCTAGCTTTTCTCTTGGCATTTTAACATCTCTAATCCCTAATCCAGAGAACTTGTCCATTTTCATCTACACCAGACCTTAATTTTGAGGTTTTAATTAATTTACTATAAGTATTAAATGTAAATTGAGTTAATGTCAAGTATTTACAGAAGTACATAGCGTATAATATAAGCATCCAATAAATACTGGTTATCATTATTATTATTAAACTGGTACTCAGATGTAGTGATAATTTGATGTGCCTATGCATGTACATGCATGCATGCACAATACACTACATGTGTATTGACACTATTAAAGCACATCTTAACTCCATTTAGCATGTTTCCATAAATAGTATTTACATGCTCTGAACAAGCTTTTAGTAAAGAAAAAAAAAGAAAAAAGCTGTTAGAGAACTTATGTCTGATTTCAACTCTTACAACATGGAAACTTTACTTCTGAATACATATTTCTCTGAAAGCTATAAAAGTGATATGGAGACTGCAGTGAATGGAGAGGAAAAAATGGTCAAGGTATATGTTTGAGAATTATAATTTCTTGATTATACCCAGTGTTGACAGTAGTATAGGTAAAGGATATTCTTGTACATAGCAGATTTGAGTATAAAGTAGTACCAACTTTGCAGTGGGCAATTTGGTAATAGGTAGCAGATTTTAAAATTTGCTTACCCTTTGATTCAAGGAATTCATTTTAAGGAAATAGATTAAAAGCAAATAATTAGATAAATGATGAAATTTATTTTAAGAAAATAATTAGGTAAATTCATATATGTATTTTTATGAATGCTAATTGAAGGGGTAGTCATAAGAAAAAAAGTTAAAACATGAGTTTCTGTCCTATAAGAGGATGGCTAAGTTTTACCATAACCACAAAATAGATTACCATGTAATCATTTAAAATAATACAAATGTAGATCTACATTTATTATAATCTGAAGATATCTACAGTATATTAAATGAGGAAGGGAGGTTTCAAAACAGTATATAAAATATACCTCTTTAAAAAAATTTTTTTAATGTTTATTTCTGATAGAGAGTGTGAGGAGGGGAGGGTCAGAGAGAGAGGGAGATACAGAATCTGAAACAGGCTCCTGGCTCTGAGCTAGCTGTCAACCCAGAGCCCGATGCAGGGCTCGAACCCGTGAACCATGAGATCATACTCTCAGCTGAAGTCGGACACTTAACTGACTGAGCCACCCAAATGCTCCCCTCCTTCATTTTAAAAAAGGTATGTATTTGTATTTAGAAAATAGTAATTGAAATTAGAATAGTGATTCTCTCTTGGTGGTGAAATTATTATCTTTATTTTAATACTTTTTTGTCATTGGTTTTTTGTAGTCAACATTTGTTACATGTATATTTTTTAATGCCCTTAAAATTTTTGTTGGTTTTTTGAATGTTTATTTTCAGAGAGAGGAAGCATGTGTGTGCACAGGAGAAGGGTAGAGAGAAAGAGAGAGAATTCCAAGCAGGCTCCATACTGTCAATGCAGGGCCTTGTCCCACAATTATGAGATCATGACTTGATTTGAAGTCAGGAGTTCAGTACTTAACTGACTAAACCACCCAAGCTAAAAAAAAATTTTTTTAACTTAGAGATTACAAATGAAGGAAAAATGACAAAGAGCTAGAATAACCAGTACTTCTAGTATTTATGTAACATAGTTGATGCTAATAATAAAGTCAAATTTGCTTGTTCTTGAAATCTTCTGCCCAAGAATTTAATTCTTGCTCTTTGGAATGGTGAAAGAAATGGAAGTTACCCTGCAATGTTAATTTTTAAACCATTTTTTCCTATAGATCTTTGCCGCCGTTCATTATCAGAAGATTCTGTAAGTAATCCACTGTTGTTAAACCCAGAGTTTACACTTCTGACTAATATGAATTTGTAGGGGGCTTCTTTGTAGTGTTTATTGGCTTGTTGGAATAGATGGTGATTTATTTCATATAAAAAGAATAGAAATCCTCTTGATCAGTTGCTTTTTGGGTTATTTTTGTTTTTTTAGTTTCTTAATGTTTGCTTATTTATTTTCCTAGAGCTTCTGGTTTATTTGTCTTATCTATAAGTAATGGGCAACATGTTTATTCGAGTAAATACGCTGAAAACAATAGAGATAGGTTCCAACTATGTATTCCTTTTCATATTGGAAAGAGGATAGTGAGAAACTTCATGTCTTATATCCTCTTTTTTTTTTCTTTCATAGTTTGTCAAGTTGGTTTCCATATAACACGCAGTGCTCTTCCCAACAAGTGCCCTCCTCCATACCCATCACCCTCCTTCCCCTCTCCCCCATCCCATCAGCCCTTAGTTCTCAGTATTCAAGAATCTCTCATGGTTTGCCTAATTTTTTTTTTAATGTTTTATTTACTTCTGAGAGAGAGAGCGTGAGCAGGGGAGGGTCAGAGAGAGAGGGAGATACAGAATCCGAAGCAGGTTCCAGGCTCTGAACTAGCTGTTAGCACAGAGCCCAACACGGGGCTCGAACCCACGAACCGTGAGATCATGACCTGAGCCAAAGTCAGACGGTTAACTCACTAAACCACCCAGGCATCCCTAATGTTTGTTTATTTTTGAGAGAGACAGAGTGTGAACCAGGGAGGATCAGAGAGAGAGAGAGGGAGACACAGAATCTGAAGCAGGCTCTAGGCTCCGAGCAAGCTGTCAGCACAGAGCCCATCATGAAGCTCGAACTCACGAACTGTGAGATCATGACCTGAGCTGAAGTCGGACGCCCAACCGACTGAGCCACCCAGTCACTCCTTGATCAGTTATTTGATGGAGTCTCAGTCTGAGAAATTACCAGAATTTTTATATGCCTTATACATTTTATTTTATATTCATATTAATATAAATTCATTTTCTTATTTTAGATATAAGGCTCAGATCTTTGAATATGGGTCCTTTTATAGAATTTCATGCACATTTATTAAATGAACCACAAATAGTCCAACAGTCAACAATTTCCTGTTTTGTTAACATGCAGTACCTTAAAGACAGGTATGAAGTTGTTTCATTACAGAGTCCTTATACTGCTTTTTCACCATTCTTTTATTGTTTTCTGGCTCACACCTATTGACACAGTAATTCACTTTAGGAATCCCCTTTATCAAATTCCTAAATTTTAACAAACTGACAGTAAGGGAAATTTTCTGAAAATTACATGTTGTCTTTGAGATCATGTATCTTTTGAATGTTTGAAACACTTGGCAAATAGGAAGATCAATTTGGAAAATTTACAGGGGAAAAAAGTTTCTTTTTCTACTTAGGATGGGACTGAGGAAGACCCACAGGCAGAACTGGCCATCATTCATGGGCAGATGGCCTATATTCTGCAGCTTCAGGGTCGGACAGAGGAGGCATTGCAACTTTACAATCAGATAATAAAACTAAAGTAAGTAAATTATTGAAATGAAATGCCTTTTATAGAGGATGGAGTTTCTTTTTAAATGTTTGTTCCTTTTTGACTGTTGCTTATTGTTCACAGGCCAACAGATGTGGGATTGCTGGCTGTGATTGCAAATAACATCATTACTATTAACAAGGTATGGGCTATCCATGGGTTTCTTACATTTATATTTTACATTGAAAACATACTACCTCAGCTTTGTCCTAAGATAACTATTCTTTTTTTCCATGACACAGTCCACTTGTAGCAAAATCACAATGGAGAATGTTATTTAACTTTGATAATGATGATAATTCTGCAAGCTGTATTCAGGTATAAATAAACTTCTTTGTAGTTACAGATTCCAGACTTTAAAATCTTGGCCCTTTACCAGTTTATAATATAATAATGCAGAAAATCTGTGTGTTGAAAAATAAATTGTTTGGAATTTTTTTTTATGTTTTTATTTCTTTTTGAGAGAGAGAGCGAGCGTGCAAAGGTGGGGGCAGAAAGAGGAGGGCACAAGGATCTGAAGTGGGCTTTCTGCTGATAGCAGAGAGCCCAATGTATATAATTTTTTTTCTTTCCAGTGGTTTTATTTGGGGGGAGGGGAAACATGGACAGGGTCTCTCCCAGTACTACATGTAAAATATTACAAGTGTGTAGATAAATGGTTACAAGTGTGTTAGTAAAATTGACTACCATTTAGAACAGTGTTTTAACGGAAGAACATTCCAAGTTCAGATTTGAAATTCAGATCAATAGATAACAAGAAAAGTAACATTTGATTCCTTTTGATAAACTGAATTTTCAAGTGCCATATATTTCATCTTCACTGTTATGTTTCTCGGTAGCAGTACTTACCTCTAATTTATAGGAATATAATCTTAGGCTGAAAGGAGTTAAGTAGTTTGTATAAGGCCATGCAGTCTTTTAAAGGTAGAGCCTAGATCCAGATTCCAGTCTCTAATTGTAGAGTCCTTCATGGTACCTCTTCCCTCCTATAGCAGAAATTCAGAGGGTCCCCCAGAAGATGAGATCATAGCATTAGGTCAGTAGTAGTTATAGGAACTTGTGAGCTATCAGCATAGTTTAGGTCTCCAAAAATAGATTGTGGCATTTGAACCTTAGCATTATATATCTGCCTGTGTTTATGAATTATTTGAAATGCCAGTGAGAATAAATTCTTTTTACCTGGTATATAATTATGGAAAGGAGAGTGTATGAAACACTAAATATCTTAATCGTATTGTAATTATATGCCAAACTTTCTTTAGTCAGCAAACTTTTTATTCAGAATAGTGCTGGATGCTATAAGTAATGCAAAGAAATATGAAATTCAGTCTTAATGATTATATCATTCGAACTTTTTGACTTTTGACCACAGTATTGATAAAAGATCTCCCTGTTGGCATATTTGTAGATGACTCTTGAAAAGGAGGGTTACAGAATAAGCAAGTGAACATATGGAGAAATATTTATGACTTGTGAGAGGAAACTGCAACAACAGAAGTTAAAAGGATATGTACTGGTTTGGAGCTTCACACTCAGAAAAAGTAGAATTTATTTTAGATTTCTTCTTTGCCGCCTTTTAGTCTTCAAACTAATAGAAGACCTGGTTTAAAGCGCATAGTGATATCATTTATTTGCAAATAAATATATTATCTAACAAAGTTAGAATATTGTGCACACAGTAGACATTCAGATGCTCAGTTTGGCCTTCTCAGGATGCAATGTAATTTAATTGTCTTCCTTATCCTAGAAAGGCGTGTGACATTCTAGGACTCTTAACAGGACTTTTTAAAGGCAGATAACACTGTGCTTGCCTGACATAGAAGTTTGAGAAATTGAACTTATTTGAGCTTCTGCCTAGATGAGAAGGGGAAGAAAAAACTAGTAGTTACAGTACATTAGCATTTTTGGCTAAAAATGGGTTCAAAAGAGATGGGAATTTATTTCTGAATTTTAATAATTTCCTTACATAATGACTATTTCAAAGAGGATGAATTGCTTTCCTCATTTGTTATCTAAATTCTAAAGGGCATAGTTTGTAGATTGCAGATTTCTTTATATCTTTGTAGTTAGTCCTAATTTCCACTGTAAGATTTGTTCTGTCCATATATGTTTTTCTTCAGAAAGCTCAAGGCAAGCAGTTAAGAGTGGAAACGATAAAAGAAAACCAAGAACCTAAGACACATTTATATGCATCTTAGAGATTTAGGCAACTTAACCAGGGAGATCTGTTATCTCCCAAGCTCTCTTGTGTATTAAACGGAAGAGTAATAAAGTCTTGAAGTGTTAAAAGAGTTAAAATCTGAGATTGCTTTTTATGGCAGATGAACTTTTCTTTGTCAGGACCAAAATGTCTTTGACTCCAAGAAGAAGGTGAAATTAACCAATGCAGAAGGAGTAGAGTTTAAGCTTTCCAAGAAACAGCTTCAAGCTATAGAATTTAACAAAGCTTTACTTGCTATGTACACAAACCAGGTAGGTAACAAACTTCCAATTCCCCTGGTTACCCTTTTGGAGTATGGCATAAAGGGTGCTCAGTACAATTTATTTATATTATTTGTTTTATATTACATGTGTTCTTCAGAATGTCATATATCATAGAGTTTATTTGTTAAACAAGTAGTTTGCTCAGTTCTTTGTAAAGGTCTGCAGCTGCCTTTTAAGAGGAAGAGGACATTATTCACACTAGTAAATGAGATAATGTTCTCATTACTTTATTTCTAATATCTCTCAATTAAAGTAGAAATCATTAAAGATGTTGACCATGATTATAGGTTTAAGATCTATCTTTCATTTTAGTTTGTACATATTTACTCAAGTTATAAATGCTAAGGATGTCAGTTCTAGCTCTAACACCCATTAATTCTAAATAATGACTTTATATTCTATATTCTTTTATATTCTTCTTTATATTCTTCTATAACAGCAGTGGGAGTGAGAAGCAGTAACATTTTATTTATTTATTTATTTATTTATTTATTTATTTATTTATTTTACAAATAGTTTATTGTCAAGTTGGTTTCCATATAACACCCAGTGCTCATCCCCACAAGTGCCCTCCTCCATGCCCACCTCCCCCCCACACACACCCATCAGTCCTCAGTTTGTTCTCAGCATTCAAGAGTCTCTCATGGTTTGCCTCTCTCCCTCTCCCCCACTACTTCCCCCCTTCTTCTCCCCATGGTCCTCCATTAAGTTCCTCTTAATCCTCCTATACGTGCAAACATATGGTATTTGTCCTTCTCGAGGCAGTAACATTATTTAGAACGGAGTCTAAATACTGTAGCAAAAAATACCTATACATTTTGTTGTTTTGAAGCAAAGGCTGATACTTGTATTTTTTTTTTTTAACAAAATCCTGGAACTTAAGCATACAAATTAATGTTCAGGACTAGTCCTTTCCTAAATGCTTTCATAACTCATGGCTTAAATTCAGTAAATGGAAATTTTTTCTTATAGAAAAAAATTAAGGATATTCTAAACCACTTCTTTTACCCTAGATAGTTGTTCACTTAGTATTTATCTTTCAGCTGACCTCCTTCCTCTTGCACCCCCATCCTTCTCTTTTTGGTCATTCACTTAATGTTTAATTTCATTAACCAATCTATTGGGGGATGGGGGGACCTATCTTTTAGGCAGAACAGTGCCGCAAGATATCTGCCAGTTTACAGTCCCAAAGTCCTGAGCATCTCCTGCCTGTATTAATCCAAGCTGCCCAGCTCTGCCGGGAAAAGCAGCACATAAAAGCAATAGAGCTGCTTCAGGTAAAGGAATTACATGGATTTTTAATGAGGTGTCAGAGTTGCAGCCTTGTTTCATTTTCATTATAATAGCCTGCAAACTTGTAAATAAAATGGGAAAACTAATAGGTAATATACCACTAGACAAATTCCATAGTGTCACTTTAGTTAATTCTTGAGCTACCAATTTGTTTCTTATAAGTTTGCATTAATAAACGTTTGCTTAAACCCTGAGGAATTTGGAGATCAATTGGGCATGAGTTAAAGGTTTGTTTTAGGTTTATAATACCAGAACATACTTAATCTCTTTTTCAATACTGTATTTTCCAATGAGTCCCAGTCTAAAACCTCAAACAATTGCATAGATAACTGACTTGGTTTTTATCATCCTACACCAGCTCCTAGATTACATGTTTGAAATTCATGAGGGTATACTACATTGGAAGGTAGAACAGGGTAAAATTAGGACCCCAACCTGAAGGGCAGAGGTGCCTAGGCAGGAATCCTCAGCAAAGAGGTAGCATCTGTTTGAGTATCTTATTTAAACAAACAGAACTATGCGGCAATTATTATTTCTCTAGTAATGACTTCCTGGAACTTGATATTATTATATTTTCTGAGCATAATTTGATATTTTTTGCAGAGCATAATTTTAAAACAAAATAGATATCAAAATTTTTCAAAAATTAAAATTTTGACCTGAAACCAGAACTTTACTATCTTAAAACTGGATTTAAAATTCTGTGTAGATGTGATAATTGAAACGTGCAGCCAGTTGTGTAAATTAAGTGATTTTTTTTTTCCTCCAACTAAAACATTTTAGGAATTTTCAGATCAGCATCCAGAAAATGCAGCTGAAATTAAACTGACCATGGCACAACTGAAAATTTCCCAAGGTATTGATAGTGATTTCATCATGCTTAAAATACTATTTTAATGGAAACATGATTGAAATGATTCTGAAGTAGCTGTGAGCTATGTGACTTTAAAAATTTTGCATAATGATGGAGCATAATTATTGCTGTTTCAAACAGCCTTTTCTTGAGTTATTAAATTTTTAGAATGATTCTCAGTGTATGCCTTGAAAGTCAGTAGAAGCAAAGGATTCCTGTGTTTCAAAAGGTCATACTTACTCAAATTTCCTGGGTATGTCATGTGTAGAAATGCTTCTATCTGTCACTTGATAGTATCTACATGAAATAAGGGTTACTTTGCATTCTAGTTCTCAGAATTTCTTAACTTAGTCCTTTATCCTTTGTTTATATTTTGACCCATATCTCTGGGGAAGAAGAGGCAAGAAAATTTAATGAAATGTTTTGTTTGAAATGAAATGAAATTTAATGTTTTTGAATCCTACAGAAAATTGCTAGCGTTTTTGCCCATGTTTCTAAACAAACCTTGAGTGATTGTCTATAGCTATGTAGCTATATTCTGTCTTCACTTAGTAACCACTATCCAGTGAAACTATTTTAAGTTTAAGATTAAATGAAATTTTAAAAGTCAGTTCCTCATTTGTGCTAGACACATTTCAGAAGCTTTATAACCACGTGTGGCTAGTTGAACAGGATAGATTAGGAAATTTCCATCGTAGAAAGTTGTATCTCTGGTGTAGATCATGCATTCCCAACATTGGGTGGTGGGGATCATTTGTTTGGTGGGTGATCAGAAAAATTACAGATATTATGATGGCTGAAATAAAAATCTCATGGGTAAAGATAAGGCAAATTGACAATGGGTAGGGGGTGGGGATGGGGAAATGTCTTAAAAGGCTCCATAGTGAGAAGTAACGAAAACAGGATTGAGAAACATTGTTGGTCTTGGTGTGCCTGGCTGGCTCAGTTGGTAGACAATGAGACTCTTAATCTCAGAGTTGTGAGTTCAAGCTGCAGAGCCCCACATTGGGCATAAGTTTACTCTAAAAGAAAGAATACAAATGGGCGCCTGGGTGGCTCAGTTGGTTAAGTGTCCAACTCTTGAGACTCTTTGTTTCAGCTCAGATCATAAAGTCAGCAGTTTGTGAATTCAAGCCCTGCATCAGGCTCTGCACTGTCCTCACAGCAAAGAGATTCTCTTTCTGCCATTTCCCCATTCATGTGCACATGTGGGCATGCATACACACTCTCTTTCAAAAAGAAACAGGGGCGCCTGGGTGGCTTAGTTGGTTAAGCGTCCGACTTTCGCTTAGGTCATGATCTCGCGGTTCGTGGGTTCGAGCCTNTGGAACAAATGTGCATTCCCTGAGATGACACAGAGACTTTCATTCCCTCCTCCCTTTTGGCGCATGCTCATTCCAAAGCCCATGAAAATAAGCCTGTGAAATGGAGAGGGGAAGAAGACCCATGTAGTGAAGAGTTTAAGGGTTTGGGACTCCGGGGCGCCTGGGCGGCTTAGTCGGTTAAGCGTCCGACTTTCACTTAGGTCATGATCTCGCGGTTCGTGGGTTCGAGCCTCGCGTCGGGCTCTGTGCTGACTGCCAGCTCAGAGCCTGGAGCCTGTTTCAGTCTGTGACTCCCTCTCTCTCGGACCCTCCCCTGCTCACGCTGTCTCTCTCTCTCTCCTAGAAATAAATAAAAAAACATTAAAAAATTTTACAAAAAGAAACAAACATTATTGATCTTCTTGTTACTCATACTCACATTTCCTTACCTTCCTCCCTTAATTTTCCTTTTTCCCACCTCTCCCTTTTCTTGCTCTTCCCCTTATTTTCTTTCCTTCTCCAGTTTTCAGTTTATTTTTGAAAGGATTATTTATCATACTAAAATCACTAAGAGCTTATCACAGTTTCTGTGACAAGTCTTTGGAAGGTTATGTTAGGTTTGCAGTGAGTAAAAAAACAGTATTTTGACACCATAGGAAGTTTTCCATTGCACACCTTATCTACAGTAATCTATTTCAAGGTTTTTAGGGTAGGGCTTCCTTTAAGTTACGGTCTACAAAAGGAGAAATAGAACTTAACAGCCTGGGTGGGAGTTGGGATACTTCTTTTCTGGTAGCATCTCTGCCATTAACTCTCTTTGTGGGTGTAAGCAAGGTATATTGTTTCTTTAGGACTCTGTTTCTTTATGTATGTGTAAAAAGAGTACCTTATCCCAAAGATCCCAAAGCTTGAGTATTTAGAGATTACAAAATGACTTAAATTTCTTATATTTTTTTCATAATATGCCTTCTTTAGTGTGATGATGATGATGTTTTTGATCTCTCAAGGTAATATATCCAAAGCATGTCTACTTTTGAGAAGCATAGAAGAGTTAAAACATAAACCAGGCATGGTGAGTTTATAACTATAATATTAAGAGACTGAAAAAGTAATGGAATTATAGTCCTTTTGTATGTTTGATGTTTCTTTGTATTTAATTTCTATTTATAATGCAGTAGTAAAAATAATATTTTTCTGCTATACATTTAATATCGTTTTATGTTCTGCTTTACATTGATTTATTATTTAGGCAAATATGCCAGGCGCTATGTAGGTCTTACATTATCACTGAAAGCCAACCTTAAACAACCTAAGACCTGTATAGGGAATCTCTTAAACTAAATTATCTTTTCATGTCTTCAGTGTGGTATTTTGAGCTAAAGCAATTTAGTCGTAGTGGCCAACAAATTTAGCTTTTTAGTTCTCTGATGATTCAAGAATCACAGGTTTAGCTCTACTATGTTACTGGAAAGCATGTATTTCAGAGTAGAGACTAATGCTGTAGTTGGTGGTATGTGCATTTATTGTATAGGGACTTTTATTCATGTTTGTATCCTCTAACACCGCTTGTTAGGGCTTTCTCTTTTGAAGATTCATATTTTAAATACAGACTGGGCGATAATTACCTTATATTAGAATCAAATATAAATGTTTCTATTATTAATATCTGGCCTTTTATTCCCTTTCACGAAATTTATCCACTTCATCTAGGTTGTTGAATTTATTGGCATAAAATTTGTTCAGATATTTCTTATTTATTCCTTTAGTATCTATAGAACCTCTCTCATTCCTGACACTGGTTATTCTGGTCTTCTTTTTCTGTTTTCTGGTCAGTTTAGCCAGAGTTTTACAGATTTTCCCAAAGATCTAGCTTTTTGTTTCTCTTTCCTTTCTGACCTCATCTCATGGTGCTCCTCCCATTCTCACTACCCTCCAGCTGCATGGGCCTCCGAGCTGTCCCTCCAACATACTAGGCAAGCTTTTCGTTGGCTTTATGTAGCTTGGACCAGATACAACTTACGGGACCTTAAGCCATGCTGGAGTATACCTCACTAATCACACATTAGAAGTCCCAGCAATGTCTTGTCTTACAAACTAATACTGTAAACACTTATTCTCATCTGTTGTACTTACCTTGCCATGCACTGGTAGCAAACTGAACTGCCACTACTTTAAGAGGAAAGTTACATTTTATAGATAAACACCTTTGTATTTGGAAACCACCATTGTATACAGTATTTCTCGTTATGCTCTAAAAGGATAATAATTTTTATGATGAATTTGGTACTGGCAGAGAGCCTAGCAACCTTTATTGCTATTTCTTCAATTTTTTCATTTTCAGAAAGTTTTTTCTGGGAGACAAGGGGGAATTTTACTCATTAATTTGTACTTTTGGCTGGATAGGTATCTGCATTAGTGACTATGTACAGCCATGAGGAAGATATTGATAGTGCCATTGAGGTCTTCACGCAAGCTATCCAGTGGTATCAAAACCATCAGGTAAATAAATGGAAAAAATTGTCATGAGGGCATGTTTTTACATAAAAATAAAAAGCTGCAGGGGTACCTGGGTGGCTCAGTTGTTAGGTGTCTGACTTTGGCTCAAGTCATGATCTCATGGTTCATGGGTTCGAGCCCTGCATCCAGCTCTGTGTTATAGCTCAGAGCCCGGAGCTTGCTTTGCTCTCTATGTCCCCTCCCCTATGCACACTCTCTCTGTCTCTCTCAAAAGTAAATATTTAAAACTGCAAGTAGTGAACTCCGATTAGGAGAATTGAAATATTCCAAGTCACTCTTTAAAGAATGGAATATTATTAGACTCTCAAAATAATTTTTTAACTGTACCAGCTCCAAGTAAAGTTATTAGAAATAAAAATGACTATAAAATGAAAAAAAGAAGCCCAGTTATGGGTTGTTTTTTTTTTTACAAATAGTTTATTGTCAAATTGGTTTCCATATAACACCCAGTGCTCATCCCCACAACCACTTATGGTTTTAAAGTCCTTTATGTGTGTGTGTGTTTGTGTATGATCTCAAAAACCAGTAATACATGAATGTATTAGTAGTACTCATCTTTATTGTCGAGAGAGAGCTCATGGATGGTAGTAATTGCTGAAACAATAGACACTTGCAATAATTATATCTCATGTTTCCATCGAATAGGAACAGCTTCATTTTTTCCACTGTGGGTCATCTGCATAGGCATTATCCAACTTATAAATATACATTCACACAGGTGGTATTTATACTGTTAGCACTATTAGCAGTAGAGGGATATCAGGGTTCTAGGAAGTACTGTGAACACATTTGAGAACTATGGTGACCTATCTTTACTGTTAGATCATGAGGAAATATGTCTAGGTATAGACAGTCTAGAGATAGGTTACTCCCCAAATTCATAAATTGGTCATCACTTGTATAATTTGTCTACTTCCCTCCCTGCATGTGTGTGTTATTTTTTGTTGTTGTTTTATGCATTCAGTAGAACTTAAGATCTTAAAGGTCTAATGAATATAGTAACTTCGTGAACTTGATAGATATTTAGCTTAAAACTTTTCTTCTTCATTTTATTGAACCTGTAGCCCAAATCTTCTGCTCATTTGTCCTTGATCAGAGAAGCTGCAAACTTCAAACTCAAATATGGGCGGAAAAAGGAGGCAATTAGTGACCTAGAACAGCTATGGAAGTAAGTTCTGAAAAGTGGAGATGTAAAAATGCAAATTTTATTGCTGTTATTTAATACCAGGAAGTTATTTTTTTTGTTTGTTACTTTTTCCAATTTCATAAACTGTTTACTAACTTTCCTTTTTCCCCCCCCCCCAGACAAAATCCAAAAGATATTCACACCCTGGCACAGCTTATTTCTGCTTACTCACTTGTAGATCCTGAGAAGGCAAAGGCGTATCCTTTTGATTGTTGTTCCAGACACTTCCCAAATGCATGCTAGATCCTTTCCTCTAACTGATTTGTGCAGGGCTTTTTCTGTTATTGTTTTTTGTATTTTTTAAGATTTTATTTTTAAGTAATCTCTACACCCAGCATGGAGCTGGAAATCACACCCCAAGATGAAGAATTGCAGTCTCCACAGCTGAGCCAGCCAGGTCCCCCTCCCCAGCAGGGCTTTTTCTGTTGTAAATTTCAACAAACAACACCCTCCACTACCTAGTAAGAGCAAAAATGAGAATTTATTGATCAACATGACTGAAAAATACCATAATAGATCCATCTTGGGATACAGTTTGATCCAGAAGCAAAAATGAAGTCAACAAGATGTATCTTGTATCTCTTCAGGTTCAAGTCAGGCAGCAAAAATGTAAAAAAATAAAATAAGAAAAAGCATATTTTATTTGAGTAGTTGTGAAAGATTCTGAGATGTCATTTTGATGGAACTATCTTAGGTACATGGCTGTCTCTGGAGAGATTCAGTTCCTTCATTGGCTGAGTTTGGATCATGTGCTACTCTAGTCCATCAGGGTGTGCTTGTGAACCCAAGGTGGAGCAGTAGATGCTAGGCAGCCACAAGTCAGAACCTTTATACTGAGCAAGTTTGTGTTTTATAAGCTTGATAGTTGTTTTGGAATGGAGATTTTATTAAGCCACCATCTTGAAGTGTGTCATTGGGTTAAGGAATGGATGATTAGATTATTGCTCATTTTTCAGGGTATATGATATGTAATTGACCTTATGACCTGATTTGTTATTCTGTAGAAGATTTAAGAACATTTTCTTACTTTTGGCAAAGTACATCAAAAACTGTTTTTCTTTTGACAGACATATATACATATATATATTGTGTTCCTGAACTCTTGTTCAATCCCAGTCTTAGTAAACACCTGCCCTCATCAGATAGTATGTCTCTAAAAGTAGATGTCGAGGCTCTTGAAAATTCTCCTGGTGCTACTTACATTCGGAAGAAGGGTGGAAAAGTTACTGGAGATAATCAACCAAAGGAGCAAGGGTAATGTTTTTCATTGTAACATTCACTAATGCTGACTTTATATTAAGGACTAAAAATTTCATTCTCTGAAAATTCCATGTGAATAAAGTTTAAGTCCCCTTTGTTCCCCTTCTCTTTTGCTCTATCCAGTTCTTAGTCCTCGACCTGTTTACCACATACTCCATCCCTCTGTACCCCCTAGTTAACCTCTGGTATTGAGTGTATATCCCAGGATCTTCTTTGTGTTTACACAGAAAGCTGATTTTAAAATATTTTCTTTGGTTTATTTATTTTATTTTATTATTTTTACAGAAGGGAGTAGTATATTGTTCTTACTGTTTTCCACCTTGCTTTCTTTTACAAAGTCGTGGAGATTTTTCTATAGTTCTAGTGTACACATACTTCCTTCTTTTTTATGCATAGTATTCCATTGGCTGGATGTCCCCTACTATTTTTTTCATAAGTTTTTGATGTACATTTAGTACATCATTTAGTAATTCTATACTAGAATTCAGATGAAGTTTATTTTGTTGATTTGGAGGAAGGATTAGCCAGCTTCATTAACTTAGAAGAAGTCCATCATTCTTTTTCTTTTATTTTTTTTTCTTTCTTAAAGTTTACTTATTTATTTTGAGGGAGAAAGAGAGAGCTCACACATGTGTGCAAGAGTCAGGGAGGGACAGGAGAGAGAGAATCCCAAGTAGGCCCAATGCCACAGGGCTTGAACCCACAAACTTAGATCATGACCTGAGCCAAAATCAAGAGTTGGATGCTTAACCGACTTGAGCACTTGGGTGCCCTAGAAGTCAGCAGTTCTTATTCTCCCACATTGCCATCTCAGAAACACTGTGGAGGCCTACCGTGTAATGTTTAAAACTCTGTGAATAGAGAGTTGGGATGAATAGAGAATGGAAGGCATATAACCCTTCCCCCAGATTTGTGGCTTTCATAATTTTTCACTGTTTTCTCCATTTTTGAAAGAATGTCTTTTGAAATGTAAATTTTTTCATAACTTAAAAAATAGATTAACAGCAGTATATGATTAACTTTATTATGAACTCTATTTGGAAATAAAAAAAACACTGTCATCCTTATAATAGGTTTTTAAAACTAATATAAGGAATTATGAGTCCCAGAGATACTACATTGTTCCAAATTCCATTTTATCATGAGTCCCACCTCAAGCCTCAAGAACCCCAAAATGAAAAACTCAAGCTAGATCTTAAGGGGATTTTCAGGTAACATCTATTTTAAATATGTCTAGTAATTTTTTTCCTCCAAAAACAGAGTTGAATTATCAGTAAGAATATAATTCTTTTCTAATCCTTTATTTGTTTATTTATTTAATTTTTAACTAATTTCTATACCTAGCAGGGGGCTTGAATTTACAACCCAAGATCAGGAGTCACAGCTTTTCCAATTGAGCCAGCTGGGCACCCCTTTTTCTAATCCTAGGTCTAGCAGAAGGAAACAATAAATTAAATCCACTTAATTGCAATAAAGGTTGCATGCTCTGTGCAATCACAGAGCATAAAAGAGTACACCAGAGGGAATAGTTCTTCCTGGGGACAGTCAGGGGTTAGGAAATTACTTCATGGAGGAAGTGATTGTTTTGACTCTTAAAAAGGATGAATTAGGCAGAGTGTGAGCAAAGGCAAAGAAGTAAGAAATTGCAGAGAACCTTTGGGAAATTGCAGATCTGACTGTAGAGTGTGATTAGTAGAGAGGCAAGTTAGAATACTATTGCATGGTCTGGGTAAGAGGTGAAACTCTAAAATAAGATGCCATTGGGGCACCTGGGAGATTAAGCTGGTTAAGCATCCAACTCTTGATGTTCAGCTCAGGTTGTGATCTCACAGTTCATGGGTTTGAGTTCATGGATTTGAGCCCGACGCTGGGCTCTGCACTGAGCATAGAGCCTGCTTGGGATTCTCTCCCTTTTTCTCTTCTGCTCCACTACTTACGCTCTCCCTCTCAAAATAAATAAAAAATAAACATTAAAGGGTGCCTGGGTGGCTCAGTTAGTTAAACGTCCAACTTTGGCTCAGGTCATGATCTTGGCCTGTGAGTTCAAGCCCCGCGTTGGGCTCTGTGCTTACAGCTCAGAGCCTGGAGCCTGCTTCAGATTCTGTCTCCTTCTCTCTGGACCTCCTCCACTTAAACACACACACTCTCTGTCTCTCAAAAATAGAATTTAAAAAAATTTTTTTAAATAAAAAAGTAAATAAACATTAAATAAATAAGTAAAGACACTGTATGTTGCATTTCCTATTCTTCAGGGTACCCCAAAAGAATGTTCACAATTGAATGACTTGGTAGAATGAATTTTTGGCAGAAATTGTTGCAGTCTCAGTATTTTAGTTCACTTTCATAGTTCACATAGAGGTATATCATGTATGATTATGTACAGAGATATTTTTTATGTCTTCCTGTTACTACTGTCAGAATGCTTATTGAAGTGTCTTCATTTTTCATGCTCCTTTCAGCACCACCATCCCCTTTTTTTGGTCAGTGTACTTAATAAAGATTTTACTTAATTCTATAAACTTAATAGTTTCCAGATTTAAAAGATAAAAAAGTACAGTGTAAAAACTTTCTCCCACTTGTGTGTGCTCTCCTCTCTCCAAGGTCACAACCAATGTTACTTGTCTTACGTACCCTCCCAGAGACACTCTTTACATGTATGACACATATACATGTTCTTTTGCCTAAGAGTTTAGTTATCTGTTCTCTAGTTTTGCCAAGCATGTAACTTAACGTAGTATTATAGACTTTTATGCTTGTTCAAGTTTCTTTCCTTTTTACACAGACTTAATATATGGCAATGTAAATGCAGTCTACATTGCTAACCCTCTTTTTTAAACCACTTTCCAAAAGCTGCAGTGTGTGAAGCTTGATTAAACTTTAAAAAAAATTTTTTTTTAATGTTTCTTATTTCTGAGAGAGAGAGAGACAGTGTGAGCAGGGGAGGGTCAGAGAGAGAGGGAGACACAGAATCTGAAGCAGTCTCCAGACTCTGAGCAAGCTGTCAGCACAGAGCCTGACGTGGGGCTCAAACCAACAAACTGTGAGATCATGACCTGAACCAAAGTCAGATGCTTAACTGACTGAGCCACCCAGGTGCCCCTGAAGCCTGATTAAAATTAACCAGTATACTGAAAACAATAATACATTGTATGTTAAATGGCTAGAATTTAAATAAAAGTTTGAGGAGGAAAAAAACTCAGAGAGGAATTGAGATTATGACTTACTCTTTTTCTCTGCAAAGTGCAAATCTAACACTTGCTCCTACAGCCACTTGAAGAGCAGCAAAATTAGTGCCCCAGCATTGGTGCTCCCATCACAGACCCTTGGTTTGAAGCCAGTCAGCCTGAAAACAGTGACCTCACTCACACCATTGTTAAAAGCTTCTTTTAGGAGGGACAGATGCTCCATTGGGTGATACCTTGTTCCATCAGTTTGCATGGAATCCTCTCCACCCAAGGCCATTTTCTACTGGCAGAGTTTGTTCAGTGTATTTTTGTTTTTGAATAAAATATGCTTGAATGCAAAAGTGGAAAAAGTAAATACATACACGCACAAACCCAGTATTAATATCCCAGCTAGTTTATTGAAGTTTGGTGAGACAATATAAAATCTTAAATGCCTTTATGGTAAAATGCCCAGCTCACTCTTTTGCATGTGTTTAATGTGCTCCAAATATTTTATCATAACAGTGGTAATGATTTTTCTTCTCTTTATAGACAGGGAGATTTGAAAAAGAAGAAGAAGAAAAAGAAAGGTAAGAATTTTGTCCTTTTTTTTATCTTTGGATTCTATCTTGTAGAATCTTCAATTATAAGCTTGAGATTAGCCCTATATAAAAATCTTCAGACATAAATCTGCTGTCCTCTCTTTTTCTGTCTTTGAACACTGACTTATTGTCTTGACTACAGCTAACATTTTATTTTTTTAAAGAGTACAGCTCTAAAGAGTTTGGTTGCCAGAATTTAAATCGTTGCTCTTGGGGTGCCTGGGTGGCTCAGTCAGTTAAGCGTCCGACTTCGGCTTAGGTCTTGATCTCACGGTTTGTGGGTTTGAGCCCTGTGTCAGGCTCTGTGCTGACAGTTCAGAGCCTTGGAGCCTGCTTCAGATTCTGTCTCTCTCTCTCTCTCTCTCTCTCTGATCCTCCTCTGCTCACTCACTCTCTCAGAAATAAATAAAACATTAAAAAAAAATTTTTTTTTAATAAAAAGAAAAAATAAATCGTTGCTCTAGTTATGTTGCTCTTTTGCTGTGACTGTGAATAGGTTACTTAATATACCTGCCAGAGTTTTTCATCTATAAAAGAGTATGAGAGCTCCTGGGTGTCTCAGTCATTAAGCATCCAACTCTTGATTTTAGCTCAGGTCATGATCCTAGGGTTGTGGGATCAAGTCCCACATCAGGCTCTGCTCTGGGTGTGGAGTCTGCTTAAGATTTATTCATATTCTCTCTCTCTCTCTCTCTCTCTCTCTCTCTTTTTTTCCTCTTTCGCTCTCTCCCTCCCTCCCTTCCTCTAGCTGCCCCCTTCTCCCGTGTCTCTCTTAAAAAAAAAAAAAAAGGAGGGGCGCCTGGGTGGCTTGGTTAAGCGTCCGACTTTCGCTTAGGTCATGATCTTGTGGTTCGTGGGTTCGAGCCCCGTGTCGGGCTCTGTGCTGACTGCCGGCTCAGAGCCTGGAGCCTGTTTCGGAGTCTGTATCTCCCTCTCTCTCTGATCCTCCCCTGCTCACATTGTCTCTCTCTTTCTTTCTCTCTCCTAGAAATAAATAAAAAATATTTTAAAAAAAGGGGGGGGGAAGGAGCGGTTTGTCATTTATATCCAGCCTTTCAAAGAAGGCATTTCTGCAGTTAGCATGTCTTTCCCGTTAATCTGATAGGGCCAGCATAGGTCAGTGTCCAGCCCTGAACCATTAACCAGGAGAATGCCATGTGTTAATTGGCTTAGGCTATAGTTGATTTTAATCCATAGCAGGAGTGACCAAGTTTGGCTTTAGCTAGCCAGAGGTTATCCTTGGAGCCACCTACCTGTCCCTGAATCTGGGAAATTTGTGGTGTAAATCAGATTGTTCTTGATTTTGTTCCCTGCCGTGTTAGGATTCAGGTTTCTCAAGTCTGCTAAGTTTATTACCACTCCTCCATCTGTTTTCCTGGTTCCAAAATTTTATTGATAATATCTTTTCTCCTATTTTTCTTTCTAATGTGTTTGTTTCCATCTTAGTAGAGTTCTGGGATGGTGCAGAAACTAATGTTTGCATTCAGTCCACTATAAGTATTTGTTTTATGTTGTTTTATGTATTAATAATACTGCAAGGGAGCAGCCAATAACTGTAGGTAGAAAAACCTGCAGTTTCGTTTACTTTCTTATTTTTTGTAGTTTCCAGGTAAGTATTTTTTTTTTTAAACTTACAAGTAATATATGCTCATTCTTTTTTTTTTTTTTTTTTTTTTTTAAGTTTATTTATTTACTTTGAGAGAGAGCATGCAAGTTGGGGAGGGTCAGAGAGAGAGGGAGAGTGAGAATCCCAAGCAGTCTCCACACTGTCAGCACAGAGTTTCTCGAACCATGAGATCATGACCTACGCCAAAATCAAGAGTCAGATGCTCAACTGACTGAGCCACCCAGGCACCCCAAGATTTTATTTAAGTAATCTCTACACCGAACATGGGACTCAAATCCACAATTCCAGGATCAAGAGTTGCACTCTACTGAGCCAGCCAGGCATCTCAAGAATATTCTTTTTTTCTCTAAGTGTTTATTATTTATTGTGAGAAAGAGAGAGAACGAGCGTGCATGTCCGCAAGTGGGGGAGGGGCAGAGAGAGAGAGAGGATCCCAAGCAGGCTCCTTGTTGTTAGCACAGAGCCTGACTCAGGGCTTGAACTAACAAACTATGAGATCGTGACCTGAGCCAAAACCAAGAGTCAGACACTTAACCGACTGATCCACCCAGGCACGCCTCGAGAATATTCTTATATATAACTTTTTGTCTTATGGATATCTGCAGGATAAATTTCTAGAAGTATAAATTTTGACAGTTATGCCAACTTAAATCACTCTCTACAAAGGCTATACCATGTACACTTCTGCCATAGTGTTTGAGTGTTTCTCACTATTTCACCAATACTCGGTACTACTGCTTTTAATATTTGTTAGTTTAATAGAATTTTGTTACCTTTTTCATTTATAATTATTAAGGTAGAGCCTTTTTTCACATGATTAAGGACTTCTATTTCTCCTGGCTTACCTAATGATAGCAGTGCCAGTTTTTCTTTGCATAATTTACCCTATTAATTATCAAGACCTCTTTCTATATCATCAGTCCAGTCTGTTATATAGTGTGTGTGTATGTGTGTGTGTATACACACACCAAATGAAATTAAGAATTTTTTGTGTAGAGGTGCTTGGATGGCTCATTCGGTTAAGCATCTGACTTCAGCTCAGGTCATGATCTCATGACTTGTGAGTTAGAGCCCTACATTGGGCTCTCTGCTGTCAGTATAGAGTCTGCTTCAGCTCCTCTGTCCCTCTCTCTCTCTTCCCCTCTCCTGCTGGTTCTCTCTCTTTCTCAAAAAAAATAAGCTTTAAAAAAATTTTTTATATAGAATCATCTATGAAGTCTTTTCTTTTATGACTTTTGAATTTTGTGTCATGCTTAGACATAAGGCCCTTTTCCCTACAAGATTATACAAATAAAACATTCTCAGATGAACTGACTTCAATTTATTGAAGATTTCTTATTCCTTTATCAATTATTACACAGGAAAGCTACCTAAGAATTATGACCCAAAGGTGACCCCAGATCCAGAAAGATGGCTGCCAATGCGAGAACGTTCTTACTACCGGGGAAGAAAGAAGGGTAAAAAGAAGGATCAGATTGGAAAAGGGACCCAGGGAGCAACTGCAGGAGCTTCATCTGAACTGTAAGTCATTCATTGCTCCTCAATTGAAGTCACTCAGAGCATAGGTTGATTCTTTCTCAGATTGACTCAGGGTCATTAGTAAGAATTTTTAAAATATATTTTAAGCATAAGAAGTGTAGTCAGATATATTTAGTACATGTTTTAAAATATGCTTGTGGAAAGGAAAGAAAATATGTTTTTGGCTTGATTATATTGTAAATACTAGAATTATAGGATAGTATTATAAATGTTAGGATTCCAGTATCTTCAAAAGGAATCTCTAAATACACTTGAGTCATTCAACTGAATATGTAGATAGAATAGATGCTATAAATAAGATGACTAGAAAGATGTTATTTAAAATGTTACTAAATAAGGAGCGCCTGGGTGCCTTAGTCGGTTAAGCGTCCGACTTTCGCTTAGGTCATGATCTCGCGGTTCTTGGGTTCGAGCCCCGCGTTGGGCTCTGTGCTGGCTGCCAGCTCAGAGCCTGGAGCCTGTTTCAGAGTCTGTATCTCCCTCTCTCTCTAACCCTCCCCTGCTCACATTGTCTCTCTCTCTCTCTCTCCTAGAAATAAATAAAAATATTTTTAAAAAAAGTTACTAAATAAGCTATTTCTACATTGTATGATTATAGGTCATTTAAAAATTTTTTTTTAAACTTTCTAAAAATTGGCATGAACCATGTATTACTTTTTCTTTGAGTATAAAGCATTAAATATTGTATTAAAAAAAGTGGATAGGGAGTTGGGAATCCTCCTTTAAAAGAAATAGGATATATGTGGAAGATTGTTAGGAGTAATGTGTTTTTATAGCCTTTTCCTTTGTTGAATATATGCATGACCAGTGCTTTCCTTATCTGATGATTTTAGGGATGCCAGTAAAACTGTGAGCAGCCCACCCACCTCTCCAAGACCTGGCAGTGCAGCAACAGCAGCTGCATCTACAAGTAATATCATACCCCCAAGACACCAGAAACCTGCAGGGGCTCCAGCAACGAAAAAGAAACAGCAACAGAAAAAGAAGAAAGGTGGAAAAGGTGGCTGGTGATTAGAACATTCTTGTTTCCAGGCTGTTTTTAGTCTCACAGACACTAGGAACATAATAAAGGTAACACAGCAAGAAGCACAGAGTTCCTCCCTCTCCTATCCCCACATTTTCATAAAATGATTTTCTCATGCATCAAACAGGAAAACATCTTCCTCAGACTCTGCCTAGTCAGACTCAGCCAACTTGTACTACCTAGCTTTGCACAGGTGATAAGGACTCGAAATAATTGGGCATTTTCCCACCTTGATCTCTGTTGCATCCTTTCTCTTTGTGTGCTGATCTGGTGTTTTTTCAGTTTCACAAACAAGGCATGTTATCCAAAGTTTCCTAGGATTTAAACAGAAACTACTTATGTTTCAACTAGAGTCTGAAGATCCTTGTTCCTACCAAATCCCACTTTAAATTATGTCTTAGGAGGCCTTAGGAGACTGAAAGTGGAATCTTCTGAGCATTCCAAGTAAATATCTGCTTAGAAATATCATGTGATAAAAAGGGACCTTATTAATACACTGGTGTTCTTCACTTCATAAGTGGCCACAGAAAAACTAAAGTAAATGTCATGACTAATTTTAAACATAAATATATATAGTAGTGAAAAGCGTGTGAGTGTGTGTATGTACATATATATACACATTTACACATATATATAAATTAGGACTTCTTTGCATCCCATATTGTTTTCAGGTTATGATAACATTATGCTGATTTAGCACCATTAAAGAACTCAAGGAAATGTATCAATTTTGCAAGAAGTTGACTCCTAGCCTCAGTGTTCTGAAATTAGATGGGTTTGGACTGTTTCAATCAAAGATTTAATGGCCCTGTCAGGAATTTGAACATTGACTTCTGAAGTAGAGAGGAAATCCACCAGAGTTCAGTAGCAGGCAGTATTAGAACTTAAGAGAACTGTTTGGCCCAGTTCATAGATACTAAAATGACTCCCCTTCACCATTTGGAGTACATGCATTCATTACCCTTCTCAAAGTAATGAAGTATTGTACAGTCAGTCTGGTGTCAGTGTTGCATTGGTCTTTACTCACTTATAAGCCACTTTCCCATTGAACAGCTGTGAGGCAGACACGCTGGGATGCCCACCCTTGTGAGTATTCATTTTGTGCTGCCCAAGATAGCATTGACTCTAGACTTTGAGTATTTCCTTATGATCTTATTACTTGGTTCTTATTAATAAAGTGCTGCTGTGTTTGACTCTGAACATATCTATTGAAATTTCTTCAAAGAGATTTTTAAAAGGCTTTCCTCCTTTACAAAAGTAAGAAATGTGGTACTGCCTTTGAATCTGCAGTAACATCTAAACAAGAGACCCTCATATATGAATGATTTGTTATGGCATAATAATTTTTGAGCTCAGAATACTCTTGGTAAGAGTGATGTACTTATTCCTTCTGAATATATATACTCCAGTACAGAAATAATTGTTAGTAAATTTGTTATTTAGAATTCCATTAAATTTCTGTGGTGAAGGATAATCATTTTTAGGTTAACTGAGCTACAGAATTTTGGTGAAAATTATCCATCATTGAAAATTTTGACCTAATGCACCAAAAGTGAAATTTACATTTCTGTATTTAGTCACTGTAATTGCTAGCCATTGTCATTACCAGCCATTACTAAGCAACTGAAACCTCAGTTTAAATAAATTATAATTGTCAAATGAAGTGTAAATATCTACATTAAATTTCAAGTAACTTTCTTCTTTTGAACAGGTCTTTAATGGCATATATACTTTGTGTGTACATTTATAAAAACCAATATGGATACATCCATTCACTGGTACATTTTAAAATAAAATATTCTAGCAGTGAGTATGGATTAAGGTGTTTCGAGTGTTGCCGTTTTATAGGGACTTCCTGATTGGTATATGAAGAATTTTTTAGGCTGAATATCTAAAATTGTTTCTTGCCCCTCCCAGAAAGCTACAAAATTAATCTGATGGGACTGGGAGAACCCAGTTTTAACTTCCAGTATATAAACAAATTGAGTAGTAAACATTTTTTAAGTTATTAAGCACAGCATTTTCAAGGCTGGGTGGAAACTGCTAACCTTAAAAATTGTTGCATCACTCAAACCTGGAACCTGCCTTTGATTCACTGTTCCTTACAAGCCTATTTGAACAGTAGATCTGATGAACAAAAGTCAGTATATTGCATTGATAAGTTCATTGGATTGTAAAATCTATTTTTGAATGCAGTTTAACAAAATAAGGGTTTCCTGGGTGGCTCAGTTAAGCATCTGACTCTTGATTTCGGTTTAGTTCAGGCTCAGGTGAGATCTCCATATTATGAGATCTATATCAGCATCAGGCTTTGCAAACTGAGCAGGGGCTGAGCATAGGATTCTTTCTTCCTTTCTCTCTACCCCTCCCCCACTTGTGCTCTCAAACATTAAAGCAAAATAATAAAAACCATCCATATGCTTTTAAACCAGTTTAAAAAACAGTACACCACCTTTGAAAAGTCCAGAGGGTACCCAATTTGCTATATATTAGATCATTGTGTGCGACTATTTTTGTTTAGACGTAGTTTTAATAGCCAGCATTACTGGTATCCACGATCCTGGCCGACTACTAAATTTAATCTCCAGAATTCTTTTTTAGGCGACATGTAGTAGGAATTTAAAACGAGGGAACGGTTCACGTTTCTCTATCATTAAGCATCCTGGATAACAGCCGATGGACAAGTGTAGTTAACACGGGGCCGGGAAGATAAAAACGTGGCTTTTCAGGCTGCTAAGGACTAATTTGGAGAGGCGCGTAATCCGCTGGGACACTGGTTCCCTTTAGCGATCTCCCAAAGGGAGACCCTTGGGCCAGACTGCTCTGAGGTAGTAATACAGTAGAGGTGAGACGCGGGCATCTGGGCCGCCTTGGAAGGCTTTTCTGAAACACAGCGCCCCAGCCCACGCGAATCCTGCCATAGTGCCAACTTCCGAGGAAGTGTCTCGGTTGGGATGGGGTGGGAGGAGTCTTCCTACGAAGATGATCTGCCCCTCCGGTCTCCCAATTCTGGCGGCTGGTCCTCCCCACCCCCTCAGGGTTTACGGCTTCCTCTAGCTTCCTGGCCGTCTCCTTCCCCACCCCACCCCCACCCCCCCGCCTTGGGTTCGACGATTCTGCTGCGCGGCAAACCCGCTAGTGGGCGCGAGATGTAGGGCGGCAGCCAGCGCGCCCTGAGACTGGCCCCGACCGCACAGTGACCGCGGGTGTTGTCTACGCCGCGTGGAGCTACGTCTCCACCCTGTGTCCGCCTCCGGAGCCACAGCTGCCGGGATCTAAAACCCAGGCTCCAGCGCGCGGGCGCGCGGAAAGGGAAAGAAATCAGGGCGGTGGTGATGGAGAGGGGGAAGGTGAAGAAAAAGGGGAAGGAGCCGGAGAAAGAGAAAATTCGGGAAAAAGGAAAGGAGGAGAAAGAGAAAAAGGAAGTGGAGAAGGAGAAAATTAAGGGAAAGGAGAAGGGGAAAGAGAAAGGGAAGGAGGAGAAGAAAGAGCGGGAGACCGAGAAAGAGAAGGAACAACTTAAGGGAAAAGAAGACAAAGAAAAGAAGGAGAACCACGCCTTGGCTAAGCCCCCGCTGGAGCCTCCGGTAAGCGGCGGTGCTCCGGACTCGCTGCCCAAGGCCATTATCGGCGGTCAGGCCTAACGCCGCCGGCTCTGTTACGTCCCAGGCGCCGACCCGCGGGAGGGAATCCGGTCTCGGAGGGCATTTATCTGTGGATGGGAGCGGGTGTGCCAAGCTTGCCGGGCCCATCACTTCCCCTTCTCCCCGTCACCTGCCTCATCCTCACTCCTACCTACACCTGCCCCTGTGTCCCACCCTTCGCGTGGTCTAGCGTTGAGGAAGGAAGAGGTTCTGGTTGGTCTTCACTGGGCCGGAACAGCCCTTCCCGGGCCCCAGCCGCCTACAGCTCGGAAACCAGCCCTGAACCCTCGCCGAGCACGGGCTCTCCAGCTTAGTACTTTGTCAGAAAGCGTAGGGTTCCTGAATTCGTGCAGGGTGTGTTTTAGGGCTAGACCTTCTCCGTGGTTACAATAAAAATTGTTTTCAGACCACCAGCGCCCAGAAGGGATGGTTACAAAATTAACAGAGGTCTCAGAAACCAGGCGCTGCAATCACAAAAAACCCCTAATACCTATGATTCTACTTACAGGAGGTACCTAGAGTGGTCAAAATACAGAGTAAAACTGATGATTACCTGGGGCTGAGGGGATGGGAGGGTGGAGAGCTAGTCCCGACTACAGAGTTTCAGTTTTACAAGATTAAGGGCATTATGAATGTAGTTAATTCCACTGAATTATATGCTTAATAATGGCTAAGATGGTAAATTTTATGTGAATTTTGCCACAATTAAAAAATTGAGGGGCGGGGGCTAGGATAAAAAGAAAAAGGCACTGTTTGAATCAGCTTAATGAGGAGCTTGCTCCTGGAGTTCCTGAGGTCACAAGTGCTTTTCTGATTCTAAACAATTTGAATTATTAACTGAGATTTGATCTCTGGTAAAACACAGACTATTATAGATCCATATATAGTTAAAGGAATGACTTTTGATAGGGAACAGAGGTGTTCAGAATCACAGTTTGTGTCTGAACTCTTGGTTTACAATAATCCCAGTTTTCCTTAAGAGATTAGATAAACATGAAGGGAGCGTGTATTTTAGCATTCATTTGCCACAAATAAAGTAAAATGTAAAGTATCAATGACAGCAGAATTTCTAGAAAGGATGGGCTTAGGGACAGTGATGTGGTTGGAAAGAGTAGGGAACTGTTTTAATTCACAACACTTCATAGGATCTCAGATACCATTATTTTAATACCACTGAGAAAAAAAAGATGCTTCCAGTCAAGACACAACATACCATGAATTGTAAAATCCTCATTGCGGAGATGTTAAAATGTGGGAGGGAAAAGTACATCTTGGAATTGATGAAATACGTTGGGGTAGCCTTGAGTGTGGGGCCATATGTGGAGACTGTAAGGGAGATACAATCCACACCCTACAGCCATTTCTTGGGCCCACCTTTACTTTAAAGCATGAAATTTTAAATCATCCTATGAAGTATCTCCAGTCTATCATTCCCTCTTCCTTCCCATGACACTCCCAGAATGACACTATAACATTTAGATTCAGATGGGAGGGAACGTGGATAAAGGTAGGATATAACTCTGGAAATACCGTTTGCTTTAAGAGCCATCAAGAATTAACTCCAGGCACCCTCCTACACTGTTGGTGGGAATGTAAGCTGGTGCAACCCCTCTGGAAAACAGTGTGGAGATTCCTCAAAAAATTAACAATAGAACTCCCCCATGACCCAGCAGTAGCACTGCTAGGAATTTACCCAAGGGATACACGAGTGCTGATGCATAGGGGCACATGTACCCCAATGTTCATAGCAGCACTCTCCACAATAGCCAAAACATGGAAAGAGCCTAAGTGTCCATCAACTGATGAATAGATCAAGAAGATGTGGTATATTTATACAATGGAATACTCCATGGCAATGAGAAAGAATGAAATCTGGCCATTTGTAGCAACATGGTTGGAACTAGAGGGTAGTTATGCTGAGCGAAATAAGTCAGGCAGAGAAGGACAAATGCCATATGTTTGCACATATAGGTGGATTAGGAGGAAGTTAACGGAGGACAAGGACGATGCGGGAGAAGAAGGGGAAAAATAGTTGGGGAGAGGGAGGGAGGCAAACTATGAGAGACTCTTGAATGCTGAGAACAAACTGAGGGCTGAGAGGGGTGGGGGGGAAGGGGGGTGAAGAGCATGGAGGAGGGCACTTGTTGGGATGAGCACTGGGTGCTATATGTAAACCAACTTGACAATAAGCTATTTAAGGAAAAAATACATTAAGTATCAAGGCAAAAAATAAAGGTTCCCCTGAGGGTAAAACACTAAAAAAAAAAAAAAAAAAAAAAAAAAAAAACCAAAAACATGTACTTGGTCTTTTTTTTTTTTTTTTTAATTTTTTTAAATGTTTATTCATCTTTGAGAGAGAGAGAGAGAAAGAGTGTGAGCAGGGGAGGAGCGGAGAAGGAGAGAGTCACAGAATCTGAAGCAGGCTCCAGGCTCTGAGCTGTCAGCACAGAGCCCATTGCGGGCTTGAACCCACAAAGTGTGTGAGATCATGACCTGAGCCAAAGTTGGTCACTCAGCTGACTGAGCCACCCAGGCACCCCAACATGTACTTTTTCTAATTCTGGTATTCAGGAGATAGTTTTCATAAATCATGCTCTCTTTACAAGACCCTATTAGACCAGACCTTAAAACATCTTACTCTCAACATAGATCTAATTTTTTTTTTAAAGAAAAATAGGAACTGAAAAAAAAATCACTTTTTTCCAGAAACCCAGTCTAAATCTAATGTCAACATATAGTATTCAAGTACAAATATAAAAGATTATTGTTGGGGCGCCTGGGTGGCTTAGTCGGTTAAGCGACCGACTTTCGCTTAGGTCATGATCTCGCGGTTCGTGGGTTCGGGCCCCGCGTCAGGCTCTGTGCTGACTGCCAGCTCAGAGCCTGGAGCCTGTTTCAGTCTGTGACTCCCTCTCTCTCTGACCCTCCCCTGCTCACGCTGTCTCTCTCTCTCCTAGAAATAAATAAAACATTAAAAAAAAAAAAAAAAGATTATTGTTATTTCCAAACCAGTGCCATTAAAGACAATTACTGTATTTTGTGCATGAGAAACTTCTTCAGC